GAATTTTTTGTAGAGACAGGGTCTCGCCGTGTTGCCTAGGCTGGTCTTGAATTCAAGCAATCTGCTCATCTTGGCCTTCCAAAATGCTGGGATTACAGGCGTGAGCCACCATGCCTGGCCCTAAATGTAATTTTTTTTTTTTTTTTTTTTTAAACAGAGTCTTGCTCTGTCGCCAGGCTAGAGTGCAGTGGTGTGGTCTCTGCCTCCTGGGTTCAAGCGATTCTCCTGCCTCAGCCTCCTGAGTAGCTGGGATTACAGGTGCGTGCCCCCATGCCTGGCTAATTTTGTATTTTTAGTAGAGACAGGGTTTCACCATGTTGGCCAGGATGGTCTTGAACTCCTGACCTGGTGATCCACCCGCCTCGGTCTCCCAAAGTGCTGGGATTACAGGCGTGAGCCACTGCGCCTGGCCCCTAAATGTAATCTTTAAAATGGGCACAATGTTGATATGATTTCAAGGGAAAGGCGGCAGCTGCCTGCGGTGAGCCCTCCCACCTCCTCCATAGCCTGAGTCCCGGCCTCCCACTGTCCCTGCAGGGCTCCTGGGAAGAGGACGGGCCTTCCGCCTTCGCAGGTACAGCCAGTGGGCAGCGTGTTCTCCACTGCACTCTCATCACCAAATGAGGCTGCGTTCGTTCCCCATGGGCCTTCAAGCAGCACGGTGTCTCTCAGCGCTGGGCTCGGAGTCCAAATCAGAGGGCTCAAGTCAAGCTGTGGGCAGGGCTGGGCCTCCTGGAGGCTGCAGGGGAGAGTCAGTGCCCGCCTTTCCCAGCATCTGGAGGCGCCGGCATCCCTCGACTCAGGGCCCCTTCCTCCCCTTCACGGCCACAGTACAACCTCTTCTGGTCTCTCTGACTTTCACCTTCCTGCGTCCCCCTTTAAAGGACCCTGTGAGGACATTGGGTCCCCGGATAACACAAGATGTTCACCCACCTCAGGGTCCTTCGTTCGTAGCACCTTCAGTCTCTGGCTGAGTGAGGTGGGCCAGGCCACAGGTCCCAGGGATTAGGAGGGGGACTTGCCTGGGGAGGCTTTTGTTCTCCTGGTGGGTGTGTCTCGGGGGAGCAGCTTGGGAAACCAGCCATTTTTTTTTTTCTTTTTCTTTTCTTTTTTTTTTTGAGACGGAGTTTCGCTCTTATTGCTCAGGATGGAGTACAGTGGCTCAATCTCGCCTCCCGGGTTCAAGCGATTCTCCTGCCTCAGCCTCCCGAGTAGCTAGGATTATAGGCGTGGGTCACCGTGTCCGGCTAATTTTGTGGTTTTAGCAGAGACGGGATTTCTCCATGTTGGCCAGGCTGGTCTTGAACTCCCGACCTCAGGTGACCCACCCGCCTCGGCTGGATGCAGGTGGATGCGGGATCCATCCCGCAGTGCTGGGATTACAGGTGTGAGCCACCGCGGGGCGGAAGCCAGCCATTTCTTTCCTATGCCTGCTGGGGTCCGAGGCGGGGTGGGGGGGCCCTAGGGGAAGCCTCCAGTTCTGTTGCTGTTCTCTGCACTGTCCACAGTGGGAGATCCTGTGCCTGCCTCCCCTTGCCTGTGTCCAGCCATTTCTCTGCACAGAGGTCTTAGCACCCTGTAGGGGTCGACCTCCAGGTAGGCCGAAGGGCACGCAGGTTTTGTGAGTGGAAGAAACACATCTGAGGCCTGACCTTCAGACAAGCTGCACTTTCAGTCAGAATCAAGTCAGAGCCAAGCGGCATCTTGGCGCGGGCAGGTTCCCGTGGGGCCGTTGCCTTTTGCTACATGGTGTCACGGCTTGCTCCTTATGAGTCTGTCGGGGACGGGTGTCAGCATTCACATCCCTCTTGGCAGTCGGCATTGGGTGCAGCATAAATTAAGGCCAAATTGCATTTCCTGCACCCGGTGGGACTGCAGGCTTAGTGTGGGCCTGGCTGCGACTTTGCTGGAATCTTTGATCTCGCTGGGTTTGTGGAGTTGCTTTTCAAAGGCGAGAGTGTGCAACATTCCTTGCCCCTCTTCTTCTCTGTAGCAGTGTGACTTGGAGGTCCCCGCTGGGCGCACGCCTGCCCCTTAACCCCAGGTGACCTGCGTTCAGGCTTCTAGGTCATCTTCTGTGTTATTTATTGTTGTGTTTTTGCCGTGAAGGCTGCGCCAGATGCATCTGTACCTCTGCCCTGTGTGGTCTGTCTATGGCACGGGTTCTGAGGATTCTGAGTCTCAAGGTGGTGGTGTTGAAGCTGCATGGGATGGTTGCAAAACTGCTCTGCGAGATCTCGGCCTGTCCGTGGCCCCCTCAGCGACAGGCAAGGGAGATTTCACCCCATTGAGAGCCGCTTTTGCCATCTAAGGGGATGTACCATCTACAGGTTCCAGGAATTAGGACGCAGGCGTCTTTGGCACCGTTTCCTGCCAACTCCAGAGGATCAGACCTATTGACCTTTAGAGACCTTTAGAGATGTTACGGAATTATATTCAGTGGAACTTTATTATTTTTTTTTTAAGAGTTGGGGTCTTGCTCTGTTGCCCAGGCCAGAGTGCAGAAGCACAGTCCTGGCTCACTGCAGCCTCAAGCCTCTGGGCTCAAGTGATTCTCCCACTTCAGCCTCCCACGTAGCTAGGACCACAGATGTGCATCACCACGCTCAGCTTATTTTTAAGTATTTTTTGAAGAGATGGGATCTGTGTCATCCAGGCTGGTCTTGAGCTCCTGAGCTCAAGCAGTGTCCTCCCGCCTCGGCCTCCCAAAGCGCTGCGGTGATCGGCGGGGGCTGCTGCGCCTGGCCATGCTCAGTAGAACTTCTAATGTTTCTGAAGTAAATATTTGAACTTGGTTTTTATTCCTTTGCTGGAATATTGGGCTCCATTGCTCTTGTTTTCTTTAGACTCCTTCAGCCTGGCCCCATGTGAGGCTCCTCTGGTTCTGACTTCTGTGCTGACGTAGGTGGCATTGAGGTTGGGAGGGTCTGCTAGAATGTGCCCTGGAGCCACGTAAATAACATGCAAGTCACATGTTCCCAGCTGCCCCCCAGGAAGACAGTTCAGCCATGTGCTTTAATGCGTGCACAGCAGCTCGTGCCTATAGTCACAGCTATCTTGGAGGCTGAGGTTGGAGGATTGCTTGAGTCTAGGAGTTCAAAGCCAGCCTGGCCGGCATGGTGAGATCCCACCTCTACAAATTTTTTTTTTTTTTTTGAGACAGAGTTTTGCTCTTGTTGCCCAGGCTGGAGTGCAATGGCATGATCTCGGCTCACTGCAACCTCCGCCTCCCGAGTTCAAGCAATTCTTCTGCCTCAGCTTCCTGAGTAGCTGGGATTACAGGCGTGAGCCACCACACCCGGCTAATTTTGTATTTTTAGTAGAGACAGGGTTTCTGCATGTTGCTCAGGCTGGTCTCGAACTCCTGACCTCAGGTGATCCACCTGCCTTGGCCTCCCAAAATGTTGGGTGAGATTACAGCCATGAGCCACCACTCCCAGCTACAAAAAATTTTAAAATTAAAAAATTTATTTGGCCGGGCGCGGTGGCTCGAGCCTGTAATCCCAGCACTTTGGGTGGCCGAGACGGGCGACACGAGGTCAGGAGATCGAGACCCTCCTGGCTAACATGGTGAAACCCCATCTCTACTAAAAAATACAAAAGACTAGCCGGGCGAGGTGGCGGGCACCTGTAGTCCCAGCTACTCGGGAGGCTGAGGCAGGAGAATGGCATAAACTTGGGAAGTGGAGCTTGCAGTGAGCTGAGATCCGGCCACTGCACTCCAGCCTGGGCGACAGAGCGAGACTCCGTATCAAAAAAAAAAGAAAGAAAAAAAAAAAGAAAATTTATTTAAAGTAGGCCAGGTGCAGTGGATCACTTGAGGTCAGGAGATCGAGACCATCCTGGCCAACATGGTGAAACCCCATTTCTACTAAAAATATAAAAATTAGCTGGGTGTGGTGGCACACGCCTATAATCCCAGCTACTTGGGAGTCTGGTGGCGGGCGCCTGTAATCCCAGCTACTCGGGAGGCTGGTGGCAGGCGCCTGTGGTCCCAGCTACTCGAGAGGCCGGTGACGGGCGCCTGTAATCCCAGCTGCTCGGGAGGCTGAGGCGGGAGAGTTGCTTAAACCCGGGAGATAGAGGTTGGAGGGAGCTGAGATCACACCACTACGCTCCAGCTTGGGTGGCAGAGAGACTCTCAAAAAAAAAAAAATCTTACTGTGGATTTTGCAGGGTGGCCCATCAACTGGGCATGTCCCCATCCCCCCGGCCCTGCTCAGCCATGGCCACTTCTGTGACCTCCGTTTCTGCAGGACAGGCACAGCCCAGTTAATGTTCCTAGAGGCAAGAAAGCCTGTGGGACAGAGCCCTGAGCTTACCCCCGCCGGGCATATGGCATGTGACTGCCACACCACCGCCACACCGCAGGCACACCGCCATACCACAGCCACATCACTGCCACACCACAGGCACACCACCGCCACCATACCACAGGCATACTACGCGCCACAGCATTGCCACCGCAGGCCAGCACCAGCACATTGCCACACCACAGGCACCCCCCCACCACCCCACAGCCACGCTGGGCACCATGCAACCGCAGGCACACTGCTGGCTGGGTGGGGCCATGTTGGCCGAGGAAGGGCTCTCCTGTGTCCACCGTCAGGCTGTGGTTGTCAGCCCATTCCAGTCCTGCCTCAGCCCAGCGTCCTGAATGCTGGGAGCTCCACACCTGCCTGCCCCACCCTGCCATGGTCATTGTGTACATTCCATGAGCCGTGTGAGGGAGCCTCCAGGACCCATGGAGCTGCGTGTCACACAGCCCAGGTCCATCCAGCGCCCGTTGGTCAGGGGCAGGGCGGGGCCCTGCACAGGGCCTGAGATGGCGCCATGGTCTGCACCCAGCTGGGCACCCCAGAGCCTTGGCGGGCGCCAGTGCACGATGGGTTTCAGAGGCGGGTCTCCTCCCTTCCCTGCAGTTTGAGGCCGGGGCCACCCCCACGCTGCAGGCTCCTCTCTGGCAGGCTGGTCACAGCTATGCTCTCTCTTCCCTTCAGGACTGGGTTATGACCCCTACAACCCCGAGCTGCCCAAGCCCCCCTCACAGAGGGAGAATGGCACCCTGGGCCTGGGGGAGGAGCCGCGCCCGGACGTGCTGGAGTTGGAGCTGGTCAACCAGGCCATTGAGGCCGTGCGCAGTGAGGTGGAGCTGGAGCAGCGGCGCTACCGGGAGCTGCTAGAGACGGCCCGTGAGCACCGCGCCGCCGAGGCCCCCGCCCTGGCGCCCCGCGGCCCCAACGCCAGCCCCACCGTGGGCCTGGACGAAGATGCCTTCCCACTGGCCTTCGACTACAGCCCCAGCAGCCACGGCCTGTTAAGTCCCGATACCGGCTACCAGCCCACCCCGCTGGCCACGCCTGCCGAGTCGGGCAGCAAGTACCTGCTGGCGTCCCTGGACAGGGGTCAGGGCAGAGGCGGAGGGGGCGGTGGTGCCCTGGAATACGTCCCCAAGGCTGTGAGCCAGCCCCGGCGGCACAGCCGCCCTGTTCCCAGTGGCAAGTATGTGGTGGACAACTCCAGGCCACCCACAGACCTGGAGTATGACCCTCTCTCCAACTACTCGGCCCGGCACCTCAGCAGGGCCAGCTCCCGGGACGAGCGGGCTGCCAAGCGACCCCGGGGCCCCCGCAGCAGCGAGCCCCACACCCCTGCTCCCAAAAAACCCTGTGACCCCTTCAGTAGCTGCGATGCGAGGTTCTCAGACTCGGAAGATGAGGCCACCACGGCCCCAGGTAATGAGCCCACCATGGCCAGCACCCCCAAAGCCAGGGCTGACCCTGAGAGCAAGGCCACTGGGCAGCCACCTTCCAAAGAGGGCCTGGAGGCCGAAGGGGGCGGCCTGCGGGAGACCAAGGAGACGGCCGTGCAGTGCGACGTGGGAGACTTCCAGCCACCCCTAGCCAAGCCCTGCTCCCCAGCCCAGGTCCAGGCCTCACAGGATGGGGGCTGCCCCAAGGAGGGAAAACCCAAGAAGAAAAAAAGCGGGACCCCACCTGCCCCCAGCTGCAAAGATGGGACCCAGAGGAAGGACAAGACCAAGGACAAGGGCCGAGGGCAGCCTGCAGAGAAGCCCCGTGCGGACAAGAAGGGCCCGCAGGCCAGCAGCCCCCGGCGCAAGGCAGAGCGACCGGAAGGGACCAAGAAGAAGCCATCTTCGGCCACTCCTGTGGCCAGCTCAGGGAAAGGACGGCCTGACCGGCCAGCGCGGCGGCCGAGCCCCACAAGCGGGGACTCCCAGCAGGCAGCCAGCAGAGGCCCACCCCGCCCCCTCCAGCTCCCCGATAGGAAAAGCACCAAGGTCCCATCGGGGAAGCTGGTGGAGCGGAAAGCTCGCTCGCTAGACGAGGGCGCCTCCCAGGACGCCCCCAAACTGAAGAAGCGGGCCCTGAGCCACGCCGACCTCTTTGGAGACGAGAGTGAGGACGAGGCGGCAGGGCCGGGGGTGCCAAGCGTGTGGCCCCCTGCCCTCCCCAGCCTCAGCTCAGACTCAGACTCTGACTCGGACTCCAGCTTGGGCTTCCCCGAGGCGCGGGGGCCGCCCAAGCGGCTCAAGGCCTCCCCGCCCCCCTCCCCCGCACCGTCCTCCTCCTCTTCGTCCTCCTCCAGCGCGGGGGCGGATGTGGACTACTCAGCCCTGGAGAAGGAGGTGGACTTTGACTCGGACCCCATGGAGGAGTGCCTGCGGATCTTCAACGAGTCCACCAGCGTCAAGGCGGAGGACAGAGGCCGGCTGGCCCGGCAGGTGAGGGTGCGGGTGCCCGGGCTGGGCTTAGGCGGAGGACAGAGGCCGGCTGGCCCGGCAGGTGAGGGCGCGGGTGCCCGGGCTGGGCTCAGGGCGGAGGACAGAGGCCGGCTGGCCCGGCAGGTGAGGGCGCGGGTGCCCGGGCTGGGCTCAGAGGCGGAGGACAGAGGCCGGCTGGCCCGGCAGGTGAGGGCGCGGGTGCCCGGGCTGGGCTCAGGGGCGGAGGACAGAGGCCGGCTGGCCCGGCAGGTGAGGGCGCGGGTGCCCGGGCTGGGCTCAGGGGCGGAGGACAGAGGCCGGCTGGCCCGGCAGGTGAGGGCGCGGGTGCCCGGGCTGGGCTCAGGGCGGAGGACAGGGGGGGGGGGGGGGGGGGGGGGGGGGGGGGGGGGGGGGGGGGCGGGCTCAGGGGCGGAGGACAGAGGCCGGCTGGCCCGGCAGGTGAGGGCGCGGGTGCCCGGGCTGGGCTCAGGCGGAGGACAGAGGCCGGCTGGCCCCGGCGGGTGAGGGCGCGGGTGCCCGGGCTGGGCTCAGGGGCGGAGGACAGAGGCCGGCTGGACTGGCAGGTGAGGGCGCGGGTGCCCGGGCTGGGCTCAGAGGTGGAGGACAGAGGCCGGCTGGACCGGCAGGTGAGGGCGCGGGTGTCCGGGCTGGGCTCAGGCGAGGCAGAGCCCAGGGCCTGGTGAGGGATGTTCTGTCCGGGGTGGTTTCCAGCTGGCTCAGAGGCGTGGGGTGGAGGCAGCTCCTCCGTGCTGGCCCCTGAGCCTGTTGAAAGCTCAGGAGTTGGTGGGCGGCCCTGTTGCCCCTCACCCACCCAGAGAGGTTGCTGGTCCCTGGCCACCAGCCAGGCTCCTGTGGCCATGTGCACACAATCTGTTCCCACTGACTGGCAGGGGGATATTGGCCCACCCACTCACCTGAGGGGAACCCACCTCTGGCACACCCTTCTAGCCCCTCTCCCTTCCCCTCTTCTCCCCTTTCCTCCCTTCCCCCTCTCTTCTCCCCTCCCTTCCCGTCCCCATCTCTGTCTCTTCTCTTCCAGCTCCTCTGTCTCCTCTCCTTATCCCCGCCTCATCCCCTCCTGCCCCTCTCTCCTCTCCTCCATTCTCCCTACCCCCAGTGTGCGGAGCTCTTGCGCTCCTGGGCCAGCTCTGGACCCCTGGGTCTCCTGGCCCAGTGTCTCCACATTGGCCACCAGGGGGAGCCCGCTCCACACAGACTGAGCCCAAGTGCTCATCCCGTGCAGCTGGTGCGCCCTGGGGCCTCACTTTCCCAGTGTGCTTTCACTCTGTGGCCTGGGGTCTCCAAGCCCTGGGCGCACAGGAGAGGTAGCCTTGGGCATCTGCAGAACGTGGGACACCTGCCCCCCCCCCCCCCCGCTGACTGCACCCACACACAGCCCAGGGACTGGTGGCCCTGATCCCTCAGCTGCTGTGCCTGGGGGCTGGACTATGCCATTCCCCACTTGCCGGGGGCGGTTTGAGGTTGGGGTGTGTTGGTGTTGGTGGGGAGGGCAGACCCATGCTGACGGACGGACATGTGTCTTAGCCCCCCAAGGAAGAGAAAAGTGAGGAGAAGGGGCTTTCGGGTCTGACCACTCTGTTCCCCGGGCAGAAGAGGAGGATCTCCCACCTTTCCAAGCAAGGCCAGGAGGTAAGGTCCGCAGAGGCCAGGCCAGCAGGGACCTCTTTATATTTTAATGAACGGGTGGGCTGGGCGCGGTGGCTCACGCCTGTAATCTCAGCACTCTGGGAGGCCGAGGTGGGCGGATCACCTGAGGTTAGGAGTTCAAGACCAGCCTGGCCAACATGGCAAAACCCCGTCTCTACTAAAAATACAAAAATTAGCTGGGCGTGGTGGTGGGTGCCTGTAATCCCAGCTACCAGGAAGGCTGAGGCAGGAGAATCACTTGAACTCAGGAGGCAGAGGTTACAATAGCCAAGATTGGACCACTGCACTCCAGTCTGGGTGACAGAGCAAGACTCTGTCTCCAAAAAAAAAAAAAATTATAAAAATAAGGGGGTCTTGCTCTATCACCCAGGCTGGTCTTCCAACTCCTGACCTCAAGTGATCCTCCTGCCTCGGCCTCCCAGTGTTGGGATTACAGGTGTGCACCACCACACCCAGCTTCATCCCTCCGTTTTTTTTTTTTCTTTTTTTTTTTTTGAGATGGAGTCTCGCTCTGTCACCCAGGCTGGAGTGCAGTGGCGCGATCTCCACTCACTGCAACCTCCACCTTCCGGGCTGAAGCGATTTTCCTGCCTCAGCCTCCCAAGTACCTGGAATTACAGGTGCCCACCACCACACCAGGCTAATTTTTGTATCTTTAGTAGAGATGAGGTTTCACCATGTTGGCCAGTCTGGTCTCGAACTCCTGACCTCGTGATCCACCCACTGATCACGAGATTTGCTTTTGTAAAGCATCAGTGATTTCCCCATTCATTCTTCCACCCAAGTTTCACCATAAATTTGATGCTTAACATTTGCTTTGCTTTTAGCAGAACTCCTGTTGCTCTGATTGGAACTCTGTTCTAACTGATGTCTTACTTTTTTTTAGTGCCTCAAACTCCCTCTGGTTCAGACGTGTTATGTCAAGTTAGTATCAGTTTATTTTGGGGCAAAAAACTTGAAATCCATGCAAGTTTCGTCACAGTGCACGTTTTCCATGAGGTTTTTGAAGACATCTTATCTTTGATGCTGCCCGAGTCCCAGAGAGAACTGGCTCCTGCCCCTTCCTGTTAGATCACCCACAGTGCTGGGGCAGGGGTCAGAGCGGGGACGGCAGCCCCAGGGTGACCTCCCGCAGACTGCCTGCTGCGCCGTGTGCGGCCTGGGCCTGGGCCAGTTGTCCAGCTCTGAGCCCGGGGTCCTCTGTAGCCCGGAGACAGTAGCGCTTGTCAGGCCCCTGTGCAGACGCAGCGAGGCAGTGCAGGAAAAGCAGAGAGCCTGGCTCCCAGGCCAGCAGCCAGGAGAGTCCAAGTTGATCCAGTCCCAGAGCCTCCCCAGAGGAGGGGCTTTGAGGAAGATTAGGTGTAGTGTCATTGGATTGGAGTGCCAGTCTAATCGGGGTAGTCCCACCCACCCGTGCCTTATCAGGGCTGAGGACACAGCCTGGGCACTGGGAGACACGAAGTGGGGGAGCCTGGAGCCACGTGGCATTGAGGACCACTGCTCCATGCTGCTTCCCCCCAGTGTGCCCAGCAGCTCAGAAGGTAGCCAAGGAGGTGGTGCCTCCGTCCCCCGAGCTCCAGCCACCCTCTCCCAAGCCTGCCTGGGGCCACCTGCTCCAGGTGCCCCCGCTGTGCTGCCAGGCCTTAGCATTTGTGGTGATGCAGGCGGAGCCCCCAAGGAGGAGTCCTGCGGTGCCCCCGGCCCGGCCCCCGACGGCACAGGAGGTGTGCTACCTGCGGGCCCAGCAGGCGCAGAGGGCATCGGCGAGCTTGCTGCAGGCCCCCCCCAGGCTGGCAGAGAAGCTGCCCTCCGTCCACATCTCTGCCCCTGGCGAGAAGAGGAGGATCGCCCACATCCCCAACCCCCGCCTAGCTGCAGGTGAGTGCTGACCCAGGAGGCCTGTGCCGGGGGGACATTGGCATGTGGGCAGGAGAGGGCACCCCGAGGTCTCTGAGCTCACCTGAACCACGTGGTGTTTGCTCATGTGGCAACTTTGGGCCCTCTCCTTGGGGCCCTCAGCCTGCCTGTCTGTGAAATGGGGACTGTTGAGGAGTGCAAGAGGCCTGGCCCAGCACCTTCCTTCCCTGACCCGGCTCTGGGGTTACTAGGAGTCCAACAGCCCGGTGGGGACTGTGCTGAACCAGGGCTTGAGCCTGTGGTGCCAGGGAATGGGGAACCATGTCGGGGTGCCTGGCATTGGGTGGGGTGCAGGCTCCTGCAGGTGTGGCTTTGTGCCTGGCGTGTGAGTGGGGGGCGTGGCCTCTGATGGAAATGAGCACCGTCTTCGCAGGAGCGGGGCTGTGTTTCCTTTACTCCGAGAGGCATGTCCTCCGCAGAGTCTTCTGGAAAGTCGGGCCAGGCCTCAGTGGTGGGTGGACAGGACCTTTCATGCGGGGTTGTCCTGTTTCCTGCATCTTCACATCAGTGGTGTCTGTAGAGCAAGGAAGTGTCCCTGGAGGCAGGTCACAGATGAGGGTCCCCCAGAAAGCTCCTAAAAAATGCAGGTTCTGGTCTGGAGGCTGGGAAAGGACCTTTGTGTCTGGCAAGCTCCCTGGGAGGGCATGGCTGCTGTCCAGGGACCACTCTGAGCAGCCTGCTGGGTTGGAGACCCTGCCTCCCTGGCACTGGCCAGAGGGCCTTAGGGCCAGCCCCGGTGATTCCCCCGCAGATCCCATGGATCCCCCGCCCTCCTGTGCTGGACCTGGACTGAGGCCCTCCTTAGGGAGAATTCTCCAGGCCACTCTGACCTCGCCTCCCCAGAGCCCCTCACGTCTGAGACCTTAGCCCCAGAGAAGGGAAGTCACTGAGTTGGGCTGATCCCGGGACCCCACACACTTGCATCGGCGTCTGCGTGCTGGCGGTTGTCCTGTTGCTGGTCTGTGGTGGGTGCTGAGCTGTCACAGTGCCCTCGGGGCCCACTGCCTGAAGCGAGTCTGGCGTCCCAAGTGCTGGCAGTGCCACAGGGCAGGCTCACCGGGCTTGGAGGACTCCTGTGGCTGCCTGTGCTCGCCCCCAGCGTGCAGCCGAGGGAGCCTGGAGGGTCTCCATCCATTCCTGAAGGGCAAACCCTCCACTGCAAGAGGCGCGTGCCAGCCTGGCGGGCAGCCTGCTTCCTTCCTGGGCGGCCCGCGGTAGCATGAGCAGACTCAGCCTGCCTCCCTTGCACCTTCCAGGGCCAGATGGCGGTTCAAGGGATGTCGCTCTGAGACTAGGGCCAGATGTCCCCGCCACAGCTCCCCTTCCTGGGTCAGTGCCGAGCCCCCAGTCCAGAAGCCCCCCACCACACAGACATACATGCCCAGGTTGCAGCTGCCCATGTGGCCAGCCCTCCGAAACAGCCCCTGCAGGCCTGACCTCCTCCCTTTGGTTTGTGACTTCATCAAAGGGCGAGACAGAACACAGAGGCCGCAGGGCAGGGCAGGGCAGGGCAGGCCGCTGGTCACAATGAGCAGGTGGGGGTGCCCGAGACCCTCTGGTCCTCTGTCCTGGAGCAGGGCCTTTCCCTCAGACATCGATGCCTCGGGCTTGGGGTCGGAACACGTGGCAGAGGCCTGGACCGCCCCACCGCTGACGTGGCCTGAGCGGCCTCCACAGCCTGACCTGTGTCCTCTGCCTCGATGGACTTGCCTGAAGGCAGTTAGAGCCTGATGTCATTGCGCAGTCCCAGCCCCGCGCCCCGGCCTGGCCCCCTGCACGCGGAAATGCACGTGCTGCTGGCGCTGAGTGGCCGCGGCTGCCTGGTGCTCCGTCACGTGGTGATGGGCAGCCACTTGCACTGTGCCCACACCCCCTGTGCCCCGCCAGCCCCCACAGGTGCCAAAAGGACCCTCACGGCCAGCGGCAGCCAGCCCTCCAATGGCCCCGAACCAGGCGGCCAGCAGCTGAAAACACGCACATTGTCGGGGATGGCATCCAAGACTACCACCACCATCACCCCTAAGCGAATCGCCCACAGTCCATCCTTACAGGTAGCACCTCCCGTCTTGGCAAGTACCACCACCCCCAGACCAAGCCCCGAGGCCCAGCCTTACGGTGGCCTAGCCCCTCCTGGCCACATGGAGCCTGCAGAGGGCCAGCCTCGCCCCTGCCCTGCGGGCCTTCATGCTCCACACTGCAGTACAGCCTTCACCTTCCCTCCTGATGCCCTGGTGGTTTTTAAAATTTTTTTTTTGAGACGGAGTCTCGCTCTGTTGCCCAGACTGGAGTGCAGTGGTGCGATCTTGGCTCTCTGCAAGCTCCGCCTCCCAGGTTCACACCATTCTGCTTCAGCCTCCCGAGTAGCTGGGACTACAGGCGCCCGCCACCATGCCCACCTAACTTTTTGTATTTTTAGTAGAGACGGGGTTTCACCATGTTCGCCAGGATGGTTTCTATCTCCTGACTTCGTGATCTGCCCGCCTCAGCCTCCCAAAGTGCTGAGATTACAGGCGTGAGCCACCGCGCCTGGCTGCCCTGGTGGTTTTTTTTCTGTTGTGTGTGGTTTTTTTTTTGGTTGGTTGGTGTTTTTTTTTGTTTGTTTGTTTTTTTAAGAGACGGGGTCTCTGTTGCCCAGGCTGGAGTGCAGGGGCACTATCATGGCTCACTGCAGCCTCGACCTCCTGGGCTCAAGTGATCCTTCCACCTCAGCCTCCCGAGTAGCTGGGACCACAAGCCTGTGTCACCAGACCCCAGCTAATAATTTTGTTTTTTCTTTTGTAGAGACAGGGTTTTGCCATGTTGTCCATTATCCAGGCTCATTGCTGATCTCAACTCTTGGCCTCAAGTGATCCTCCTGCCTCAGCCTCCCAAAGTGCTGGGATTATAGGCATGAGCCACCATGCCTGGCCTTGTTTTGTTTTTAATTAATAGACTACGTTTTTTGAACAACTTTAGGTTTCTAGGAAAATTGAGCAGAAAGTTTAGCAAGTTCCCGTGTGCCCCCATGGCCTCAGTTTCCCATGCCCTTAGTTCCCCCTGCCCTCAGTTTCCCCTGCCGGTCCTGTCTTGCCTTGGCGTGTCTGTCCCTACTGGAGCCAGGCTGATCTGTCACAGTGCATCTCACTGTTGCCTCCAGCCGTGGTCATGGCATCATCGTGTCTGCGTTCCCGACTGGAGGTCCTGCGGAGGCCCTCACCCATGGCTGCTTTTGCCTTCCCTCTAGAGTTTAAAGAAACCCATTATCCCCAAAGAGTTTGGGGGCAAAGTCCCCACCGTCATCCGCCAGCGCTATCTCAACCTGTTCATCGAGGAGTGTCTCAAGTTCTGTACCTCCAACCAGGAGGCCATAGAGAAGGTGAGGTCCTGGAGTTCCTGTCTGGCCGGCCGGGTGGGGACTAGGGGTCCAGGGTGGTCCCCAGACATCCCCCGGCCTCTCAGCCGCAGCTGCGACCTGGAGCTGCCTGGGAGAGATGCAAGTCCCTGACCCCATGGCGACCCCACCACTGGGGTTCCCCAGCACCAGGCAGGCATGGCCTCAGCTGGGCACCACGTGTCCCCCAGGCACTGAACGAGGAGAAGGTGGCCTATGACCGCAGCCCCAGCAAGAACATCTACCTGAATGTGGCCGTGAACACCCTCAAGAAGCTCAGGGGCCTGGCCCCCAGCACCGTGCCCAGCCTCAGCAGTGAGTCCTGGCAGGGGGGGCGGGAGGCTCAGGGTTGCTCCCCAGTGAGTCCTGGCGGGTGGGGTGGGAGGCTCAGGGTTGCTCAGCAGTGAGTCCGGGCGGGGGAGGCTCAGTGTTGCCCTTGGGGTGGCAGCTGGGCTGAGCTGGGACCTTCACAGCCCTGAGCTCAGCTACAGTCTCAGACAAAAGGAAAGCGCGGGTGCCACGGGGGGCTGCCTGCTCCCTGGTTCCCAGGTTTCTGTCTGGGACTGGCCTGGCCCTGGCGTCCTCGCTGTCAGCCACCTTCCTCTGCTGAGCCAGGTCTCCGGGCCGAGGGGCCGCCTGCTAATGGAGCCGCAGCAGCCTCTTCAAAGCAGGAGGTCCCGGGCTGGGCCAGCTCCGTGCATTAAGCTCTGGGGGGAAGAAAGCAGAGACCTGGGCGTTTCATTGCAGCCTCTCCAGGCTGCATTAAGCCATCACTGGCCCCCGCCTCCGTCCCCGCCTCCATTAGCACTCGGAGAGGCCCTGGGTTGGCGTCGCAGGCTGGGTGGCCCGAGAAGGCTCAAAGCCCTCAAAAGCCATTAGATCCCCCGTGCTGTTTTCCCGGCCCTTCCCCCTTCGCTTGAGGGGAGAGGGCGAAGGCTTCGGGTGTGGGGTCTCCATGCAGCTCCCGGGCCTGCAGAGCTGGGGGCTACCCTGCATCCCTGGCCCACCACGTGTCTGCCCGGAGTCAGTAGGGCACTATCTCAGAAAGGGGGAGTTGAGGCAGAGGTCTGAGGAGGGCAGGGTGGGTGGGAGAGCAGGTGAGGCGGGGGTCTGAGCCAGCTAGTTCACACCCTCCTCCCCTCCCCCTTTCCCCTCCTTCCAGAAACCAGTGGCCGCAGGGTTGTGTCCCACGAGGTGGTGTTGGGGGGCAGGTTGGCCACCAAGACCAGCTTCTCGCTCAGCCGCCCAAGCAGCCCCCGGGTGGAGGACCTGAAAGGTGAGGACTCGGCCCGCCTGTGCTCTGCCACATGGTGCCTCGCGGGCCCCCACCAGCCGCCTTTCCCGGTGGTGTCCACCACCCCGTGGGCCATCCCAGGCAGGGGCTGACCACCGTGCCTGTCCACAGGGGCTGCCCTGTACAGCCGCCTCAAGGAGTACCTGCTCACCCAGGACCAGCTCAAGGAGAACGGCTACCCCTTCCCGCACCCAGAGCGGCCCGGCGGCGCAATCATCTTCACAGCTGAGGAGAAGAGACCCAAGGACTGTAAGTTGCTGGCCTTCCGCAGCCTAGGCGGGCAGGTGCGGGTCGTGGGCAAGGCCAGGCATGTGGGCCCCAGCGTGAGCCTCAGCTTCCGCCCGGGTCCCCCCCACAGCTTCCTGCAGGACCTGCTGCCGCTGTGGCACCGAGTACCTTGTGTCCTCCTCGGGCCGCTGCGTCCGGGACGAGGAGTGTTACTACCACTGGGGACGGCTGCGCCGGAACCGGGGTAAGGCCTTACCTGGGCCCTCCCCTGTCCCACCCATGGTCCCTGGAACCTGGGCCCTCCCTTGAGGCCCCCGGAACTGGTGTGAGGCCTTACCCAAGCCCTCCGTCCCACCCACGGTCCCTGGACTCCACTGTCCCGGGCAGAGCCAGGGCTAGCCCTTGGCCTCATTTTCTCTCCACCCGTTCTTTATGCAAAAGTAAGACGAGAGCTTTCCCATGACAATGTTCAAATGCCACCGGCTGAAAGGCCCTGTGTCCCTGTCTTCCTGTGCCCTTGGTCCATGGAAATTTGGAGGCTGCTGGCCACACGAGCGGAGGGCTTGTCCCACCCTTGGCCTGCTGGTTCCATTCAGTCCCCCATGCAGCCACACAGCCATGTTCAGGGCACATGGCCAGCCTTGCACAGCCCTGCTGCGGCCCCTAAAGCCGTCGCCTCGGGGGCACCTGGAGGGTCCTGCCCAAGGCGGCGCTGCCCGAGAGGCCTCTGCAGAGCGCGCTGGTTTCCCTGGATCCAGGCCTGGGCGTCCTGGCTGCCAGACTATTGCCGGGGCCTGGTCTGCTTCCAGCTCTGCCAAGGGCTGAGGTCTCCTGTCCTCAGTCTTTACTTTCTAGTAGGGCTCAGCAGATGCGTGTGGCCAGTGCCCCGGGGGCTGTGGAGTGGGCCTGGCCGGGCCCTGACTGTCTGTGTCCCCTGCAGTGGCCGGAGGCTGGGAGACCCAGTACATGTGCTGCTCGGCTGCCGCCGGCTCTGTCGGCTGCCAGGTCGCAAAGGTGAGCCCTGGCATTCCGGTCCCCTCTGCCTGTTCTCAACAGACTTCTGCTTCCCCGTCGCTGGTCTTGGGTCTCAGGACACAGCACAGTCTTGGGCTCAGGGTCTCGGCCCCTGGGCAGCCTTTTCTGTGTTACCCAGAGAGTGTAGTGCCCATAGGCCCCAGGCCCTGTCCCTGGCCACTTCCCATCCTGGGAAGCCATCCTCCCTGTGTCTTCTTGGCAAGCCCCCTTCCCCACCTGCTCACCAGGGTCCCAGCCAGTGAACGGGCGTGATGGATGGATAGGACAGTCCCGAAGGGCTCAGAGATGTGCTGCTGCCACCCCCGCCCCCACTGCACCCCGAAGCCGCCCTCACCTGCCTTCTCCACCCCCAGCAACATGTGCAGGATGGCCGGAAGGAGCGCCTCGAGGGCTTCGTGAAGACCTTTGAGAAAGAGCTCCCAGGAGACACCCACCCAGGGATCTACGCCCTGGACTGCGAGATGGTGAGGCCGTTCTCTGCCCAGCCTCAGGTTTAGGATTGGGGAGGACCTGTCCTGGCGCGGCTGCCCCATCTGGGCCCCATCTGGGCCCCATCTGGGCCCGGCTCACCGGCCAGTGCTCAGAGGGCTTCTTTCGCAGCACCGGTGCCTGCAGCTCCTGCCCTGGACCAACACCCCATACTTCCCAGCACAGCCAAGCCCTCCGGGCACTGGGCCCCGGCTCTGCCTGTGAATGGGAGGCAGGAGGGCTTTGGGAAAGGGGGTTGCTGAGGTCCCACCCTACTCCGCTTCTCCTAGAAGCCCCACAGAGTCTCTGGCTGCTGCCTCTGCCTCACAGGGCTCTGGAGACCTGAAGGTGGGCAGGGGGCGGGAGGGAGGGAGGCTGGTCCCCGGGGCGCGTCTGAGGCGCGTCCCTCGCCCGCAGTCCTACACCACGTACGGCCTGGAGCTGACGCGCGTCACAGTGGTCGACACGGATGTGCACGTGGTTTATGACACCTTCGTGAAGCCTGACAACGAGATTGTGGACTACAACACCAGGTGTGGCCAGTGCCCTCTGGGAGCCGGGACCCCGCCCCGTCTTTCCTCCCCAGGGACCCACCCTCCCCGCCCTGCCAGCCAGTGCTTCCAGGCTGAGCCCTGGCACCCCTCCTGCCTGCTCCCCCAGGTTTTCGGGGGTGACGGAGGCTGACCTTGCTGACACAAGCGTCACACTGCGTGACGTCCAGGCCGTTCTGCTGAGCATGTTCAGCGCTGACACCATCCTCATCGGACACAGCCTGGAGAGTGACCTCCTGGCCCTGAAGGTGCCTTGCCAGCCCAGGTCCCTCGCGGTTCTCCAGCAGAACCTGCGCAGGCCCCACATGCACTAACCTCTGCCGCTGCCCGCAGGTCATCCACAGCACCGTGGTGGACACGTCTGTGCTTTTCCCCCACCGCCTGGGCCTCCCCTACAAGCGGTCCCTGCGGAACCTCATGGCCGACTACCTCAGACAGATCATCCAGGACAATGGTGAGTGCCAGCGCCTGCCCTGGGGCCATCCCTATGCAGGAGCCGGGTGCTCACCGCATCTGCTCCGCAGTGGACGGGCACAGCTCCAGCGAGGACGCCGGCGCCTGCATGCACCTGGTGATCTGGAAGGTTCGAGAAGACGCCAAGACCAAGCGATGACGCCTGCCCGCCTCCCGCCCGCCTCTCCTGCCGCCCCGCTGGTCCTTAGCCCCAGGCCTCTTCCAAAACAGTGCAATAAATCTCCGGTAACCCGTCCACCTGGCCGAGGCAGCCCAGAGCAGCGGGACAAGCTGGCGGCCGGAGAACGCCCAGCCCAGCCCACCCCCGCTCACGTCCTGCGCACCCCTCCGCCCGTCCCCACCCTCTGCCCCCAGCCTTCTGGCGTCTCTAGAATTGCTGCTGACAGCGACCAGGACAGAGCCCGCCCCCAATCAGCCCGCAGCCCCTCCTGCCCCTCCGGCCAGGCCCTCACTCCCTCCCAGGTGGTGGCTGGCACCTCTGCTCCTCACATGGGTCGCGGGGCGGGCTTGTCCCGGGTTTGTTTGAGACAGTCTTTTTTTTATTTTGTATTGTTATTTTTATTATTTTTAATTTAAACCTGATGACTTGCACAGCACCTTTCCCACCGGGAAGAGCGGGCCTGCTGCCTTCCCTCCTGGGGGCTGGGGGTGGGACAGACCCCAGTGGGGGCCAGCCAGGGCCACACTCAGCCCAGCGTGGGCTGGACCCGCCTCCGTGCTCCAGGGGCTGGCCTGTCTTCGGGGCGCCGGCTTCCACCACTCGCCGCCCCACCCCTGCACTCCGTGACCTCTGAGAACCCAGCCGGCCCCTCATTAGCCCCAGGGCCTGCGGTCCGGATGGAGCCCACAGGCGTCTGGACACTGTCTTCCCGCCAGAGCCCCGTCTTCCTCTGCGGGGCTCTCCGGACCCCCACTCCCGTCACCTCCAGGCAGGGACAGAATAAATGTTTGTATGGATTTTAGATTTGCTGGTCCTGGTCTTGGTGCCTGGTGAGGCCTCTGCATGTGGCCCGGGAAGGTCACTGTCCCTACAGCTGGGACTGATTCTCTTCCCACCAACGCAGAGAAAACCGCGAAACTTTCCCTCACAAAAGCTGGCCCAGTGCTGGCTCCCCCAGGGCTGGGCCACACCTGCTGTGGAGTCCCAGTTCCAGCCCCAGATTGTGGGGCTACCATTCTGCAGCTTTTAGTGCCACTCGGACAGCGGGCAGTGTCCCCAGCCCTACGTGGAGCTGGGCCCTGTGCACAGAGCTGGCTTCCCTCTCCACCTCGCCCAGGGATAGGGGCCGCATGCTGACGGTCAGAGGGGGTTAAAGAGACTGGGAGCCGCTGTGTGTTGCCCGTCGAGGGGATGGAGCGCAGACACGGAAAGCTACTCCGCCCTTGCCAGGAAATGCCACATGTCATGCGGTGCACGCACGGCTCCAGGCAACCTTGGTTGCATCGGGACCCCATTTGGGAATGGGAGGCCCAGGGGTGTTTAGACCCTACTTTTTATTCACTTCAAGTAGAAAAAGTGAGCCTCACAGCACAGGACCCAGCAGTTGAGGGCAGGTTGCCTAGAGGGGGTTTCCTGCCACCCTGGCCTTGGGCTTCTGCTGAAGGGCAAGGCCAAGGGCATGGGGCCCCAGATGAGGACGTGAGGGCCCTCCCCAGAGGACTCCGTCCCAAGGCTGCAGAGGCAGAAGGGTTACCTTCTTGGTTCTGGGCTCTGCATCCCTCCTGGGGGACCGTGGTTAGGCCAGGCCCTTCCACCCTCGAGGGCTGTTCTTGTGACCAGGTGACGCTTCCCACCCCTTCTATAAAGGAGTTTTCTTTTTCTTATTTTTGAGACAGCCTTGCTTTGTCACCCAATCTCAGCTTGCTGCAGCCTCTGCCTACCAGGTTGCTGGGATTATGGCCTTGCCATCACACCTGGCTAATTTTGTATTTTTAGTAGAGATGGGGTTTCACCACGTTGGCCAAGCTGGTCTTGAACTCCTGACCTCAAGTGATCCACCTGCCTCGACCTCCCAAAGTGTTGGGATTACAGGTGTGAGCCACTGTGCCTGGCCCTGTTTTCTAAATAAATGGCGCAGGTGTGTATTCACTCTGTTTCTGTCCGTTCCCGTGTGATGTCTGCCTCCCTCTTCCCAGAACGCACCTGGTGCCTCAGGACATAGCCCACGGGGGTCCCAAGGCTGGCCAGCGCTGGCTTAAGCCCCCAGGGACCTCCTTCAGCTTGCGAAGCCACCTGTTGCTACTGGAGGCTTCAGGGCCTTTGCACAAGTGCCCTGGGCAAGCTCCTGCCCCCAGATAGTGCCCCCTGTGAAGGCTGGGGAGGGGGAATCTGGTCCTCACAGCTGCACCCAACCAGGTCTCTTCTAAAGTTTATGAGAACAGTGTGTTCAAACCCCCACCCCCGGCTCTTTTTCATAACCACTGGGCAAGCAAGCGCAGGGGAAGTGTTGAAAGAATGAAAGGAGAGAAGTCAGACACAGTGGCCTGCCTGCCTGCCTGTGGTCCCAGCTACTCTGGAGGCTGAGGCAGGAGGATCACTTGAGCCTAGGAGGTGGAGTCTGCAGTGAGCTCTGATCGCACCACTGCACTCCAGCCCGGGTGACACACCGAGACTGTCTCTAAAAAAAGAGGTTCCCTGGCAACCTCCAGGGCCAAGCAGACTTCCAGTTTGGGCTTCCAAAGAAAAGAGGGTTTGTGATCACCCAGAGCCCTCAGGTGTTTGCCACTTTGATGGGGGAGGTGGCCTCCCTATTCCCCTCCACCCATGTTTGCCTCTCCCATTGGGTCCTCACCCCAGGTAGCCTCACTCTTGGGGGCATTTCATCTTCAACAGCCCCTCCACACACACCTTCTGTCCCTGGCTCCGGGCCCTATCTCTGGCCTGGACACGCCCTTGCCTCGTCGCTGAACTCACCCCTGCCACTTCTTCAGTAAGGATCCCTGAGCCCCTGCCACCCGCAGGACAGAACCCTGCGGGCTTCCTCCTGGCCTTAGGGTGGTCTCAATGGCTATAACCGCCTCTCCCCAGCCTGGTGCTCAGCCCTGCATCTGTGCCTAGGAGGTGCTCGTTGAACGTGAATGGAATGAATGAACGAACCCAGGACACGAATCAGACACGACTTACATACCTGCCTTTACCTGTGGTCCTTCCTCCTGCACTCTGCCACGCTGTTCCCACCAGTCTCAGCCACGTCAGGTCTGCAAGGCCCATTCCGGCCTGACCCTAGCCCACCTTTACAAGAACCCCTCCAACCCCTCCCTGCGGTGCAGGTCCTTTCTGCTCCCCGGCCAAGCCCGGCCCGGCCCTTCCCTGACACCCTCTTCCCTTTCAGGCCCCGCCCCTGCACTGGCACTGCTCCCTAAGGCCCTCCCAAGGCCCTGCCGTCTGTCCTGGACCCACCCTGAGCTCCCTCCTACCCTGACCCTGCTGTGCGCGGCCCCGCCTTCCTCCTTGGTCACGCCCCCGATCCTAGCCCCGCCCCTACCTTGACCCAGCTTTGCAAGGCCATGCTCAACCACGCCTCCCTTTGGCCACGCCCCTGGATCCTGGTCCCGCCCCTACCTAAACCCTGCTTGCGCGTCCCCGCCTCCCTCTTTGGACACGCCCCGGGTCCTGGTGCCGTCCCTACACTGACTCTGCTCAGCGACACCCCCATTCGGCCCCGCCTTCCTCCTTTGTAACGGCTCCGGATTCCCGCCCCTGCCGTAACACTGCTCCGCAAGGCCATGCTCAACCCCGCCTCCCACTTTGGCCAAGCCCCTGGGTTCTGGCCCCTCCCCTACCTAAACCCTGCTTGCGCGGCCCTGCCTCCCTCTTTGGCCACGCCCCGGGTCCTGAGCCCGCCCCTACTCTTACGCCACTCGGCGACACCCCGCTAGGCCCCGCCTTCCTCCTAGCCCCCTCCCCACCCCAGACCCAGGCACCGCCCCCGAGCGTCTTCTACCCTGACCTGTTCTTCGAGGCTCTGCTCGGCCCCGCCCTTCTGCCGTGACCACGCCCCTGAGGCCTGGCCCGGATCCTGCTTGGCCCCATCCTCGAGTCCCCGTCCCCTTCCTGGCCTTGGCCCCACCCACCCCTCCAGGCCCCGCCCTCGGCCCCCCTCCGGGCTCCGAACCAGCTTCACCTTTGCCTGGGCCGGGCTCCGAGACCCCGCCCCCCGTTTCAGGACCGTTGGCACCGGGCTAACGGTTCCACCACATCAGCCGCTCTGGACGCCCGCGGCCTGCCCCAGGCAGCCTGGCCCCTCCCTGCCTGTCCTGCGCGGGTGAACAGTTGGTGCTCCCACTGCTGTGCGTTCCTGGGAGCCCGTGCACCCTCTCTGGGCTCCACCCGGGCTGAGAGCTGGGGTTGTGGCAGCGAGGGTAGAGAGGTCGCCCCTAGAGGTTAGCGCGGTCGGGGCTCGGGGGCGGGTGCGGACAGCCCTGGACTCTGGAGCCCTGTCCAGGGCGGTCCTGTGCCTCTGTGGCTGCGGGAAGATGGGGTGGGGGGCTTCCGAGTAATGGGGCGTCCCGGTTAGTGAGGCGGCAGGAAGCCAGCGCTGTGTCCGTGTCTGTTTCTGCCCCCAGATACACTTTGAGTGGATTCTGGCCATTTGAGCATTCTCTCCAACTCTCCGACCCCCAGTCTGCCCCCACGGGGGTCTCCCCACCACTCCCCCGTCCCACAGCCTAAACCCCTCTTCGCCCTGAACCTCCCTTTTCCTCATGTGGTGAATGGGCACTGGCCCCGCTCAGACTCCCAGGAGCACCAGAGCTGGCCCTGAGCCAAGTCCTGCTCCACCAGGACCTGGGGACACAGGTGACTCAGACCTGACTCAGGAAGGCTCAGGTCCTGCTGGCATCCGCGGAGGTGGTGAGAAGGTGATCAGAGCTGGGATGGGGGACTCCCCAGGCAGAGGGGCACCCCAGAGGAGGCACAGGGCCCAGCCTGGTCGGGCTGGGAAGTATGAACAGAGACCAGAAGGGTGAGGACGGGTGCCCCGGGCCGCCGGAACCCAGGAGCAGGGGCTTGGTGAGGAGGGCACTGCTAGAGAGTGGGCAGGTGGGGGGCCAATTGCTAGCGTCTGGGGTGGTTTGCCCGTTCCTCACGGGGGGCCAAACCAGGGCCCCCAGTGCAGAGCTAGAGCCAGACCCACATTCCTAAACCTGCTAGTGGAGAAGATTCCAGGATCTTCTGACCATGTGCTGTCTGCCTCCATCGCCCCCATCAGAGTTATGCGCCCAGCCGGGGGGGTTAGGAGGGGGGATGGCCACGCCTGACCCTCCTGTTGTGTTTTGAGATATAACATATAGCCCGGGGATCCCATCCAGTCAGTCAACAGACGACTGAGCCTCTAAGCTGGTGCCGCGTGGGGAGAGGGGCAGGAGGCCGTCAGCGAAACCAGGAGGAGGTGAGAGTGGCCTTCCAGGAAAGGCGAGGTGTGGGGAGCAGTGGCCGGAGTCTGGCATGGCCGGCGGTAGAGTCCTCCTAGGCTGAACTGGCGGGAGGCAACAGGGGTGGCTGCCGGGGGACACTGGCAGATGGGTTGTTGCAGGTTTGGGGATCATCTTGGGGTCCCATGGGTCTCAGGGTGTCCAAAGCAAGACACACAGCCAATGGCTGGACATTCAGAGCCTGGGGGCAGGCGGCAGATGAGTGTGGGAGGTAGCATTTGAGAGGGTCGACCCCTAGGCCGTGAGCTCCTTGAATACGAGTGGTGCCCAGCAAGGGCTGGGGCCGCTGCTGTGACCCAAGGCCCCTCTCTCCCACAGCCCCACCAGCATGGGCAGCCTGGCCCAGAGAGAAGATCTCCAAGATGATGCGGATAAGAACTCAGGTGCTGATCCTGGGCGGAGGGGGTGGTGCAGATGGGAGGGATTACGAAGCGCAGGGCTGGCAAGGCACAGTGGCTCTCGCCTGTAATCCCAGCACTTTGGGAGGTGGAGGTGGGCGGATCACTTGAGGTCAGGGGTTCGAGACCAGCCTGGGCAACAGGGAGAAACCCCGTTTCTACTAAAAGTACGAAAATTAGCCGGGCGTGGTGGCGTATGCCTGTAATTCCAGCTACTCGGGAGGCTGAGACAGGAGAATCACTTGAACCCAGGAGGTGGAGATTGCAGTGAGCCGAGATTGTGCTACTGCACTCCAGCCTGGGTGACAGAGCGAGACTCCATCTCAAAAAAAAAAAAAGTGCAGGGCTGAGGCTGAGATGGGCTGGGGCCCCCCAAACCTGCACGTCAGGCCTTGCCTAGGATTCTCATTTGGTTTCTAGTAGTCCCCAACCCTAGTACTGACTGGGTTTGGGGTATTTGACTCAGGATTTGGGGGCTGCATGCCCAGAAAGATCTGGGCTGCCTGCTGGATGTATGGCCTTGGACACCCGAGAGCCCATCACCGAGCCTCAGTTTGCCTCCCTCTGTAAAATGTATAGGCCTGAACGGATCTCCCAGGGCCTGTTCTCTGCGTCTCAGGACTGGCCCATGGCCAGGGGTGGGGGGGGTGGCCACTCTCACAATCCACTTGTGCCCACGCCACCTATGGGCAGGGGTCTGGTAGGTCCCTAGGTGGTGCCTGCTGCCCGACTGTCTTTAGGGGCTCCAACATCTCGGGCCTTCCCGGCACCTGGGTCCCTCGGGCCCCATTAGTCCTCCTCTGGGCCGTGGTTAGGGCTGTTTTTCCTGGCCCTCGAGCCAGCGACGCCCGGCTCTGCCCTCATTACAGCATTCACCTGGGAGGTCCAGGCCAACAACCGCACCTACAACGCGCAGTTCAAGGAGAAGGTGTTCCTGTGCTGGCAGAAGAAGAAATACAAGGTGGGCAGCCCCTCCCGTGCCTCCCCGGCCCCCAGAGGAGCTGCCGTGGCACCCCTGGGGAATCTATTTTTTACACCTCTTGAGTCCTGCCTCTGCTTGTATTTGCTTGATATTTTTCTTTTCTTTTTTTTTTTTCTGTTTTGTTTTGAGACGGAGTCTCGCTCCGTCGCCCAGGCTGGAGCGCAGTGGTACGATCTCGGCTCACTGCAACCTCCGCCTCCAGGGCTCAAGCAATTCTCCTGCTCTGCCTCCCGAGTAGCTGGAATTACAGGGGTGAGCCACCACACCCGGCTAATTTTTGTATTTTTAGTAGAGACGGGGTTTCCCCATATTGCTCAGGCTGGTCTGGAACTCCTGACCTCAGGTGATCCACCTGCCTCGGCCTCCCAAAGTGCTGGGATTACAGGTGTGAGCCACCATGCCCAGCCTCTTTTTTCTTTTTTCTGTTTTGTTTTGAGGCAGAGTCTCGCTCTGTCACCCAGGCTGGAGTGCAGTGTCGAGATCTCGGCTCACTGCAACCTCCACCTCCCGGGTTCAAGCGATTCTCCTGCCTGAAACTCCTGAGTAGCTGGGATTACAGGCGCCCACCACCATGTCCCTCTAATTTTTTGCATCTTTAGTAGAGATGGGGTTTCATCATGTTGGTCAGGCTGGTCTGGAACTCCTGACGTCAAGTGATCCACCTGCCTTGACCTCCCAAAATGCTGGGATTACAGGGGTGAGCCACCACATCCGGCCAGTATTTTTATTTTCATCCCGAAGACCGAAGCGCCCGTCCTAACCAAATCACTGGTTTGGCGCAAGAGTTCTGGGTGTCTCATTTGCCCTGTCCCAGTGCACATGACGGTGTTAATACCCAACCTGAAAGTACAACGTGTCCATCGGGCCCTGAAATCCTCCTGAGTGTCCTGCTTTGGGAAATGCTGGTCACAGCTCAACGAGTCTTTGCACTCAGTAGAAGCTCAATTAATGCTGGCTCTAGGCTTTTGCATTACTGACCAGGTGCTCAGTAAATGCTGCCCGGGGCCTTGTATTCAGCAGGTGTGCAGTAAATGCCGCCCGGGGTCTTGTATTCAGCAGGTGCTCAGCAAATGCTGCCCGGGGCCTTGCATTCAGGAGGTGCTCAGTAAATGCTGCCCTGGGGCCTTGCATTCAGGAGGTGCTCAGTAAAACGTGGCTTCAAGTCTTTGCATTCAATAGTTAACCGTGGCTCCAAGTTTTGCATTCAGCAGGTGCTCAGTAAATGCTGGCTTGAGGTCTTGCATTTATTAATAATGCTGGCTTGAAACTTTGCATTCAGCAGGTGCTCAGTAGGTGCTTAATGAATGGTGTCCCATAGCCCAGAGGATTCTGGGCGAGGCCAAGTGGGGCAGGTCTGGCCTTGGGCACCCCCATCCCCTGGCCTGGAAGGCACCCCCCTGCCATGTGGCCTGCGGCTCTTGTTCCAGACCAACGTCATCCGCACGGCCAAGTACAACTTCTTCTCGTTCCTGCCGCTGAACCTGTACGAGCAGCTCCACCGGGTGTCCAACCTGTACTTCCTCCTCATCATCATCCTGCAGGTGAGGCACGTCGCCTCCTGCAGGAGGTCCCCCCTAGCCACCTGGCAGCATCGATGTATTTGTCTATGTGATGGGTGGGTTCATGTCCCGCTCCCCACAGACCGGGACCCTCATCACTGAGTCCCTACTACCCTGCCCAGGGCCTGGCACACAAGAGGTGCTCAATACACGTTGAATGATGAAGGTGGATGGACGGACCCTCCAGGTCTGATGACGGCACCCTCTCCATGCCCTGTTGGTTCCTGCTGGGCAGGGCTCGGTGTCGGGAGGCATAGCCGTTCCCCAGCCTAGACAGCCTCGGCCACGCAGCTCCCCTAGCCCCCACCCTCCTAGCTGACCTCAGAGGCGAGGGGGAAGGAGGAGCCCAGAGCATGTTCTCTGAGACCTGCAGAGTCACATCCTGGTACCTGGGTGGTCCAGGCCAGCGTGGGGCCAGCATCCGGCCAGGGGCACTGTTTTCAGAGCACCCACCCTCACCCAACATCTTATTTCGGTTCTGGATACAGAGGTTCTCCTTTTATCCATCGAGTCATTCAGCATTAATGGAGTACCTACTGTGTGCAGGCCACTGGCCGGGCACCAGGGTGGGGGATGGTGGAGCTCACACCTGCAGGGTGACCTGGGGAAGCAGGAACACGGGAGGGAGGGGGAGCAGTGAGGGCCAAGCTTGGGGCTGGGGAAGGCTCCCTGGAGGAGGCAACGTGGGAGCTGGGCTTGGACGGGAGAAGAGGAGTTTGCTGGGGAGACGAGGCGTGTGGGAGAAGTTCCAGGCAGGTGGAGGGATGCCAGCGGTTTGTCCTAAGGGCTGGGGGGTGCAGGTGATGGCTGGAGCCCGGCCAAGGTGGCCAGCAGATGGTGTCACATGGTGCGGGGCTGGGTTGGCTTGGTGGAAGGGCAGGGGATGGGGGAGGGGGCTGGTGTGACCCTTCCTGTGGCCCCCTCCACGTCAGAGCATTCCCGACATCTCCACGCTGCCCTGGTTCTCGCTCGGCGCCCCCATGGTCTGCCTCCTCTTCATCCGTGCCACCCGGGACCTGGTGGACGACATCGTGAGTGCTGTTGGACGCAGCTGCCTGGGGGAGGGGGCGGGGACGGGGGGTGGTCTCTTGAGCCCTGGGTGAGAGTGAGAGCGGGAGAGGGCTGGGCTTCCTGGAGCATTAGGGGAACATGGGCCCGGGAGCCTCCGCTGTTGGGGCTACGTTGTCCTTATCCACTAGCACCCACATTGGGGAGGTGCCGCTGGTGGCATTGGCTCCGCCGGCTGCGTGGTTTCGGGGCCGTTGAGCTTTGGTGGGGTGGTGGTCTGGCAGGCACACTAGGTGGTGGGCAGCACACGTATCTTCTCCCCGCCGACAGCAGTGGGTCCAGTGGCCCCCATGCCCGGGATCCCTGGGCAGACGCAACGTGGCATGGGGCCAGCAGACAGAGACCCCGTGTTGCGGGTGGGCACTGCTGGGCTGCGGCGCGGCAGCGGCCTGGGCAGGGGCACGAGAGGCCAGACGGTCTTTCTGATCCTTTCCCTCCTGGCCCAGGGGAGACACAAGAGTGACAGAACCGTCAACAACAGACCCTGCCAGATTCTAATGGGGAAGAGGTGAGGCTGGGGCTGCAGCTGGGGATCCCCGGGGACACAGGGGCTCCAGCCCAGCAGGGTCATCGGCCTCGGCAGGGCAGGGTGCCTGGCCAAGTGTCCGTCACCTTCCATGCTCCCCGGTCTCCCGGCTGGTTGAGTCGGACGGAAACTGGCCTGCATTCATTAGGCGTTTGGCTGGGGTGAGGACAGAGGCCAAGGCCCCGATGGCAAACCCCTGCAGAGCTTAGGGCTGGGGCGATGGGGAGGACAAGGAAAGTCTGAAGAGGACGTGGGTGCAGGACCCTGGAGGTCACTGGGTGGGAGCGTGGACCCGCGGGGAGTGGGGTGGGAGGCCAGGGAAGGCTTCCGGAGGGGGCAAAGGCCTGGAGGTGGGTACTGCAGCCGCAGGCCCCACGACATCCGCTTCCTCTGCTCTCACCGTGTGGGGAGGGTCGGCAGAGGGAGGGGCCTCCTTCACAACCCCCTCTCCCCGCAGCTTCAAGCGGAAGAAATGGCAGAATCTGTGCGTGGGGGATGTGGTCTGTCTCCACAAGGACAACATTGTCCCCGTGAGCTGGGGTTGACCCTGAGGTCCCAGAGCCACGCCCCCGCACCGAGAGCGCCCCTCCCAGGGTGGGGAGGGCTGCCACACCCCCAACTTATCTTGCATCCCCTCTTGCAACGCTGCTCCCCACTCCACCCCAGGCTGACATGCTCTTGCTGGCCAGCACGGAGCCCAGCAGCCTGTGCTACGTGGAGACGGTGGACATTGACGGGTGAGGAGCTGTGGCATCGCTGGGGACCCTGGGGGGTGGGGCACATGGCCCGGAGGAGCCCCCTTCCCCGATCACCAAGGAGGCGGCCAGCCAAGGTCACCCAGAGACTCTGGTCACTCACCCCATGAGTGTCTGGGGGGTGGGTGCTGCCAGGCACTGAGGGGAGGAAGACGCCCACTCTCCCCATTGTTTCATTGCTGGAGGCCCCCTTGTGTGCAGCCCTAGGCCCTGGCCTCAGCACTTTGGCAAACATGCTGTGTGGCCTTGGGCAAGGCCTTCTCCCTCTCTGGACCTCAGCCATCTGACTGGCAGCTGGCAAACTAGTAGGTGCTCAGTGAAAATGTCTGAGTGACTCCAGAAGGGGTCCGGGGGCTCCTCGAAGCAACCGTCACCCCATTTTCACCTCTCTTTTCACCTCCCTCCTCTCCTCGTCACCAGGGAGACCAACTTGAAGTTCAGACAGGCCCTGATGGTCACCCACAAAGAACTGACCTCTGTAAAGAAGATGGCGTCCTTTCAAGGTGAGCGGCATTGAGCAGGGAGTCACGTCCCCCAAATCTGTAAAAGTTAAACGTTAAGGTATTTTGTTGTTGTTATTACTGTCTTACAAAAAAATGTGCTGGCCAGGCCCAGTGGCTCACGCCTGGAATCCCAGCACTTTGGGAGGCTGAGGCAGGAGAATCACTTGAGCCCAGGAATTCAAGACCAGCCTGGGCAACATCGCGAGACCCCATCTCCACAAAAAATAAAACAATTAGCTGGGCATGGTGGCATGTGCCGGTGGTCCCAGCTACTTGGGAGGCTGAGGTGGGAGGCTCGCTTGAGCCCAGGGAGGCTGAGGCTGCAGTGAACTGTGATCACATCACTGCACTCAGCCTGGGCAACAGAGTGAGGCCCCTGTGTCAAAACCACAAATAAAATGCTACATTCTATTAAGTGTAAAATTTAACCACAACGCAGTCACGTTTGGTTGTTTCATTGAAAAGGCACCTGCATGGGCTGGCGATTCCTGTGGTGGGAATGGCCTCTAAGAACGGAGTGCTGACCCCGTCCCACTGCTTGGCTGCTTCTTTTCCTTTTCTTTTCTTTTTGAGATGGAGTTTCGCTCCTGTTGCCCAAGCTGGAGTGCGGTGGCATAATCTCAGCTCACCGCAACCTCCGCCTCCCAGGTTCAAGCGTTTCTCCTGCCTCAGCCTCCCGAGGAGCTGGGATTACAGGCACCTGCCACCACGCCTGGCTAATTTTTGTATTTTTAGTACAGACGGGGTTTCATCATATTGGCCAGGCTGGTCTCAAACTCCTGACCTCAGGTGATCCACCTGCCTTGGCCTCTGAAAGTGCTGGGATTATAGGCGTGAGCCACCGCGCCCGGCCAGCTCCCTTATTTAACGCCGTCAGGGCGCAGAATCATAGACGGGCAGTGACTCTTCCTCTGGCACTCCTCCCGGGGTGAGCAAGGATGCTTTTGCGGGCCCTGGCCTCCTCCCTCTGCCCCAGCATTCTCACCGGGCACGGACCCATTTTTCAGAGGAAGAGACTGAGGTTCAGAGAGGTGGCCTGAGGTGTGGGCTAGCCCTGTAGTTCCTCTGCCTTCTGGCCATCCCACCATGGATGTCTCCAGTTCCTACATTCAGGACGGAGTCAGGCTCCCCATCCCTAAGACATGATGGGGAGGCAGATGAGGACCCTTCAGGAACCCTGTGGCCCCTCTCCCTTCTGGGGTCCCAACCCACGCCTCATTGTCATTTTAACCCTCACTGAATGCTGCCCGGGCCAGTCCGTGTGGTCCGACCCTGTTTCCTCCAGCGGAAGTGAGAACATTGCAGGGTGTTGGGGAATGGGGGGTGGTGGTGGTGGATGGGCTCCGGCACCCAGGAGGAGGCTCATCCATCAGGTGTCCCTTCTCCTCTTCCTTCTTGACACATTTATTGAGCACCTACTGTGTGCAGGTGCTGGGTCGTGCCCTGGGGTGACAGTGTGGCTGAGACGAGGCTGGTGTCCGTTCTCAGGGAGCTCCCAGACAGTAACAATAGCTTTGCACAAATAAACATCGCATCATGTGCTGGGATCAGAACCACGAGGGCGGGAGCTGGGAGCTAGGAGGGGCTGATCTGGCTGGAGGATCAGAGAAGTGTGAGTCCCCGTGGAAGGAACAACCTGCCCAAAGTCCCTGAGGCCAGGCGGGGACAGGAGGGCTTTGGAGCCTTCCTGAGGCAGCCCTGTGCTGGGGTGCCAGAGGGCAAGTTTGGGGCACTGAGGGGCTTGTGAGGGTGGCCAGAATGTTCTCACCTGCACCCGGCGCAGGGAACCTGGGGAGGAGGGCCTGAGCCCACTGACCACTGACCACCTGGCTGCCCACAGGCACGGTGACGTGTGAGGCGCCCAACAGCCGGTTGCACCACTTCGTGGGGTGCCTGGAATGGAATGACAAGAAATACTCCCTGGACATTGGCAACCTCCTCCTCCGAGGCTGCAGGATTCGCAACACAGACACCTGCTATGGAATGGTCATTTATGCTGGTACGGCTGCTCCAGGGTCCTGGAGTGGGAGCTGTCCCGATGGGGACGTGGTGGATGGATGTGGGGATGGGTGGGTAGATGGATAGACAAATAGGTGAGTAGATGGGGGCGTGGTGGATGGATGTGGGATGGGTGAGTGATGGGTGGGTGGATGGGTGGGTGGACGGGTGGGTGGGTGGGTGGATGGATGGATAGATGGATACGTGTTTGCAAACCTTGCAGGTTTTGACACAAAAATTATGAAGAACTGTGGCAAGATCCATTTGAAGAGAACCAAGCTAGACGTCCTGATGAACAAGCTGGTGGTTGTGGTGAGCTGCCAACAAGTGCCCCTGCCCCAGGAACACAGGAGGGTCGGTCAGGGCTGTCATCTTCCAGGCCTCAGTTTCCTTCTTCTGCAAAATGTGTAGCCTGATCCTGTGGGCAGGTCTTTGGGCCAGAAAATCTTTCATTAAAGTAATTTAAAAAAAAAGTTTTATAAAATAATAATGATTATTTATTTAAATTATTATTTTTTTTAGAGATGGAGTCTTGCTTTGTCACCCAGGCACAATCTTGGTTCACTGCAACCTCTGCCTCCCGGGTTCAAGCAATTCTCCTGCCTCAGCCTCTCGAGTAGCTGGGACTATAGGTGCCTGCCGCCACTCCTGGCTAATTTTTTTGTATTTTAGTAGAAACGGGGTTTCACCATGTTGCCCAGGCTGGTCTTGAACTCCTGAGCTCAAGCAATCTGCCCTCCTCAGCCTCCCAAAGTGCTAGGATTACAGGCATGAGCCACCATCCCCAGCCAAAATAAATATTTTTTTTAGGCTGGGAGAGATGGCTTATGCCTGTAATCCCAGCACGTTCTGGGACCGAGGTGGGCGGATCACCTGAGGTTGGGAGTTTGAGACCAGCCTGAACAACATGGTGAAACCCCGTCTCTACAGAAAATTGAAAATTAGCTGGGTGTGGTGGCAGGCACCTGTAATCCCAGCTACTTGGGAGGCTGAGGCAGGAAAATCACTTGAACCCCGGAGGTGGAGGTTGCAGTGAGCTGAGATTGTGCCACTGTACTCCAGCCTGGGCAACAGAGCAAGACTCTGTCTCAAAAAAATAAACAAATAAATAAATAAATACATAAACAAACAAAAATAAATGTTTTTCGGCCGGGGCCGGTGGCTCACGCCTGTAATCCAAGCACTTTGGGAGGCCGAGGCGAGTGGATCACGTGGTCAGGAGATCTAGACCATCCTGGCTAACACAGTGAAACCCTGTCTCTACTAAAAATACAAAAAATTAGCTGGGCATGGTGGTGGGCGCCTGTAGTCCCAGCTACTCAGGAGGCTGAGGCAGAGAATCGCGTGAACCCGGGAGGCAGAGCTTGTGTGAGCTGAGATCGTGCCACTGCACTCCAGCCTGGGCGACAGAGCGAGACTCTGTCTCAAAAAATAAATAAATAAATAAATAAATAAATAAATAAACAAATGTTTTTCGATCTCACTGTATTGCCCAGGATGGAGTGCAGTGGCGCCATAATAGCTCACTGCAGTCTCCTAGGCTCAAGCGATCCTCTGGCCTCAGCCTCCTGGGCAGCTGAGACTACAGGTGTGTGTCACCATGCCTGACTAAATTATTTCTTAAGTTTTTCATCGAGAGGAGGTCTCACTTTGTCACCCAGGCTGGTCTTGAACTCCTGACCTCAAGCCACCCGCCTGCCTCAGCCTCCCGAAGTGCTGAGATTACAGGTGTGAGCCACCGTGCCCAGCCCCAGCCTTATGTTTGTGTTCACCCCATCCCGATGGCAGAGTGGGGGACCCCTGCCCCCGTCACCCACCCCGTCGCGTCTGCCTTCCAGATCTTCATCTCCGTGGTGCTCATCTGCCTGGTGTTGGCCTTCAGCTTCGGTTTCTCCGTCAAAGAATTCAAAGGCCAGCACTACTACCTCTCAGGGCTGCATGTGAGCAGTGTGGCCGCAGAGGCCTTCTTCATCTTCTGGGGCTTCCTCATCCTGCTCAGTGTCACCATCCCGATGTCCATGTTCATCCTGTGAGTCCCTGCCGGCCGCGCGCCCGGTGCAGACACAGAACGGGGAGGCATGGGGGAAGGCGCACAGCAGGCGGGGCTGACCGTGACCCCGAGTGCCTCTGCAGGTCCGAGTTCATCTACCTGGGGAACAGCGTCTTCATCAACTGGGACGTGCAGATGTACTACCAGCCGCAGGACGTGCCCGCCAAGGCCCGCAGCACCAGCCTCAACGACCACCTGGGCCAGGTGGAATACATCTTCTCGGACAAGACGGGCACGCTCACGCAGAACATCCTGACCTTCAACAAGTGCTGCATCAACGGCCGCATCTACGGTGTGGCCCCAACCCCTGAGCTCCCGGCTGGGTCCTCGATCTCCAAGGGGCTCGGGGTGCCCGAGAACCAGAGCCACGTCTGGCCCCAAGCCCAGCACCCCCGCCCGAATCAGAACCAGGGAATTGTAGCAAGATGGCCTGTTTTTTTTTTTTTTTTTTAGAGGGGGCCAGCAAACTTTTTTTTTTTTTCTCTTTGAGACGGAGTTCAGCTCTCATTGCCCAGGCTGGAGTGCAGTGGTGCGATCTCGGCTCACTGCAACCTCCGCCTCCCGGGTTGATTCTTCTGCCTCGGCCTCCCGAGTAGCTGGGATTACAGTTGCATGCCACCCGGCCTGGCTAATTTTTGTACTTTTTTTCAGATGGGGTTTCACCATGTTGCCCAGGCTGGTCTCGAACTCCTGACTTCAGGTGATCTGCCTGCTTCAGCCTCCAAAATATTGGCATTACAGGCATGAGCCATCACACCTAGCCAAACTTTTAAACAGTATTATTTTTTTTTTTTTGAGATGGGGCTTTGCTCTGTCGCTCAGGCTGGAGTGCAGTGGTACAATCATAGCTTACTGCAGCCTGGAATTCCTGGGCTCAGGCAATCTTCCCACTTCAGCTTCCCAAGTAGCCAGGACTACAGGAGCATACCACCATATTCAGCTTATTTTTGTATTTTTTGTCAAGACAGGGTATCCCTACGTTGCCCGGGCTGGTCTTGAATTCCTGGGCTTAAGCGATCCGCCCGCCTCCGCTTCCCAAAGCGCTGGAATTACAGATGTGAGGATGTAAGCCACCATGCCCGGCCACTATTCCTCTTTTGACTTTCACAAGCCTTTATTTGTGAATGCTGAAATTCGAATTTCTTGGGTATTTCCCAGATTGCAAAACAGTTTATTTTTTATTTTTTTTATTTTTTGAGATGGAGTCTCTGCCCAGGCTGGAGTGCAGTGGTGTGATCTTCGCTCACTGCAAGCTCCGCCTCCTGGGTTCACGCCATTCTGCCTCAGCCTCCCAGCCTCAGCGCCCACCACCACACCCAGCTAATTTTTTTGTATTTTCAGTAGAGACGGGGTTTCACTGTGTTAGCCAGGATGGTCTCGATCTCCTGACCTTGTGATCCGCCCACCTCGGCCTCCCAAAGTGCTGGGATTATAGGCGTGAGCCACCGCACCCGGCCACAAAATAATATTCTTCTTGCCATTTTTGTTCCTGACCATTTGAAAATCCAAAAGCAATTCTTAGCTCGCAGGCTGTATAAAAACTGACGATGTGGTGGGGTGTAGTTTGACAGCCCCGGGTCTAATTTATAACCAGGGCACATGGTTTGAACTGGGTCATAATTTAGTGTAGTGAGAAGTCCCCAAGAAATGGTTCAAGTTCAGCTATAGAAAAAGGGGCCCGAGGTTGAGGCGGGCAGATCACCTGAGGTCAGGAGTTTGAGAGCAGCCTGGCCAACATGGCGAAACCCTGTCTCTACTGAAAGTACAAAAAAGTAGCCGGGCATGGTGGCGTGCACCCGTAGTCCCAGCTACTCAGGAGGCTGAGGCAGGAGAACTGCTTGAACCCAAAGGTGGAGGTTGCAGTGAACCAAGGTCAAGCCACTGCACTCCAGCCTGGGTGATAGAGAGAGACCCCATCTCAAAAAAAAAAAAAAAAAAAAAGACACCACAAAGGGGTGGTGTGCACCTGTTGCCCCAGCAACTTGGAAGTCTGAAGAGGGAAGATGGCTTGAGCTCGGCAAGTTGAGGCTGCAGTGAGCTATGATCGCACCACTGCGCTCCAGCTTGGGCCACAGAGTAGGACCCCATCTCTAAGAACAATAAAGAATAAAAAGTGACTGGGCGCGGTGGCTACGCCTGTAATCCCAGCACTTTAGGAGGCCTAGGAGGGAGGATCACAAGGTCAGGCGTTTGAGACCAGCCTGGCCAACATGGTGAAACCCCATCTCTACTAAAAATACAAAAATGAGCCAGGCATGGTGACAGGCGCTGGTCATCCCAGCTACTCAGGAGGCTGAGACAGGAGAATCGCTTGAACCCAGGAGGCTGAGGTTGCAGTGAGCTGAGCTTGTGCCACTGCACTCCAGGCTGAGCGACAGAGCAGGACTCTGTCTCAAAAATAAAAAAATAAAAATAAATAAATAAATAAGCCGGGCGCGGTGGCTCAAGCCTGTAATCCCAGCACTTTGGGAGGCTGAGACGGGCGGATCACGAGGTCAGGAGTTCGAGACCATCCTGGCTAACACGGTGAAACCCCGTCTCTACTAAAAAATACGAAAAACTAGCCGGGCGAGGTGGCGGGCGCCTGTAGTCCCGGCTACTCGGGAGGCTGAGGTAGGAGAATGGCCTAAAAACCCGGGAGGCGGAGCTTGCAGTGAGCTGAGATCCGGCCACTGCACTCCAGCCTGGGCGACACAGCGAGACTCCGTCTCAAAAAAAAAAAAAAAAAAAAAAAAAATAAATAAATAAATAAATAAAAAAGAACAAAAACTCACCCCAGGAGTGGGAAACAAAATATGCCCCACGGATGGGGCTGCATCCCGCTCCAGGCCGTCCTTTAGGGATCCCTGCGAGACAGGGTGGGCGTGCTCCCCTCTTCCTGCTTTCTGCAGATGGTGGAAACCGAGGTCAGCTTTCGCCCCAAGATTGCTCGGGGCGTCGGTTCCAGGACCGCAGGCCTGGCTCGTGTGGCTGCATCCGGGGGCCCCCAGAAGCCTGAGACTAGGGGGCAGGGGCTGTGGGATCCCGAATGGGGGGCCTGTGGGAGCCGGGGCCTGAAGCCATGTCTTTCCCCAGGGCCAGATTCGGAGGCCAGGACCCGACCCAAGGTGAGCCTGCCCGCCCTGCAGCGCGGGACGGTGAGGGGGATGGGGCACAGGGAGTGGCCCGCCCACAGCCCGCCGCGCCCCGCCGCCCCCAGGAGAACCCCTACCTCTGGAACAAGTTCGCCGACGGGAAGCTGCTTTTCCACAACGCGGCCCTGCTGAACCTCGTGCGGAGCAACAGGGACGCGGCGGTGCGCGAGTTCTGGCGCCTGCTGGCCATCTGCCACACGGTGATGGTGCGGGAGAGCCGCCGTGAGTGCCCCGGGCGCGCCCACCCGCCTCCCCATCTCTGAGGCCGCTCGGCCCCCGGGGCACGGCAGTGTCCCCGGCCCCACCGCTCACCCAGCCCATCTTCCAGGGCCCCCTTCACCTGGCTTAGGGGGCGCTGAGGCCGGTGACCCCAGCCCCACCTCGAGGGTGTCCGGGCCTGGAGCCCAGACGTGTTGCCCAGTACCGTGGCGGGAGGGCGGATGTGTCATCCTCACGGCTCAATAAAGGATGTCCAGACCTGCGGTTGGAGCCCCAGGATGTGTTGTTGAGCAGCAAGGTCGTCTAGACTCAAGTGCTCCCCTCCGTGCATTGGGCTGAGAGGTTGTCCAGGCGGGGATCCCCCGCCACACTCAATAACGGTGTAGCCCAGGCGGTGCCCATCTCCTCCCTGCACCGTGGAGATGGAGATGGGCTCCACCACGTGACCCCAAAACGGCCCCCTCCCCACCAGACCAGCTGTTGTACCAGGCAGCCTCCCCCGACGAGGGGGCGCTGGTCACCGCGGCCCGGAACTTCGGCTACGTGTTCCTGTCCCGCACCCAGGACACCATCACCATCGTGGAGCTGGGGGAGGAGCGGGTCTACCAGGTCCTGGCCATAATGGACTTCAACAGCATGCGCAAACGGATGTCGGTGCTGGGTAAGCCCCGCCGCCCAAGCCCTGGGCCCCCGTAGGCGGCTGGGCAAAGGGGGAGCCTCTGTGGGCAACAGGGCCTGTTCCCCCACAGTGCGAAAGCCAGAGGGCACCATCTGCCTCTACACCAAGGGCGCCGACACGGTCATCTTCCAACGCTTGCACAGGAGAGGGGCAACGGAATTTGCCACAGAGGCGGCCTTGGCTGTGAGTCCCTGCAGGGAGGAAGGCTGGTGTGTGTGTGTGTGTGTATGTAGGGACAGGAGGAGGAGGCAGGGGAGGAGACTGTACAGAGAAATGAATGGCTGCGGGTACCTGGGATGGCTATGTACAGTTGGGTAGGTTGTGCACTGTACAAAACACCCTCCCCTGGCAGCACACCACACACACACACACAGGTTGGAAGGCAGCTGAACTCCAAAGTGTCCCCCCACAGAGACAGTGTCTTTTTCTTTTCTTTTTTTTGAGACAGAGTCTTGCTCTGTCGCCCAGGCTGGAGTGCAGTGGCACGGTCCTGGCTTGTTGCAACCTCCGCCTCCCAGGTTCAGGTGATTCTCCTGCCTCAAGCCTCCCGAGGAGCTGGAATTACAAGCACACGCCACTGCACTCCAGCCTGGAGTGTCTACTCTCTGGGCCTGCCCAGTTTCCTCCCAGCCCCTAGAGGCCCCAACCCTGGGTCCGGCCCTTGAGAAATGAGGGGCCTAAAGCAGGGGCTCAGAGATCCCAAAATTGAGGGGTCAGAGGGAGAGGCCTGGGACTGGGGGAGCCCAGGTTGGGGAAGGCTCTGGGTAGGTGGACTGCATACAAGGTCATGAGGGATTGTTAGAATTTGCTATGCAGGCCGGGTGTGGTGGCTCCTGTCTGTAATGTCAGCGTTTTGAGGCTCAGGTGTGCAGCTTACTTGAGCCCTGGAATTCGAGACTAGCCCAGGCAACATGGTGAAACCACCTCTATTTAAAGAATGTATATATAGAAAGAAATTAGCCAGGTGTGATGGCATGCGCCTATGATCCCAGCTGTTTGGAAGGTAGAGACAGTAGAATCGTTTGAGCCCAGGAGTTCGAGGCCGCAGTGAGCTATGATCGAGCCACTGCACTCCAGCCTGGGTGACAAAGTGAGACCCTGTCCCCCATCCCCGAAAAAAAAATAAAGAATTTGCTGTGCAAAGCGTAGGGAAGGTGTTCCTGGCAGGGAAACAGTCCTCCAAGAAAGTCTGGAGGCAAAAGAGAGCTGAGAGTCTGGGGGTGGGAGCAGGTGTCTGAGACAGAGCAGGTGAGGAGCAGGGGTGGCTCAGTTTTCTTTTTTTTTGAAACGGAATCTTGCTCTGATACTCAGGTTGGAGTGCGATGGGGCAATCTCAGCTCACTGCAACCTCAGCCTCCCAGGTTCTAGGGATCCTCCCACCTCAGCCTCCTAAGTAGCTGGTATTCCAGGCATGCACCACCACATCTGGCTAATTTTTTTGTGTGTTTTGACTGGAGGCGGGGTTTCACCATGTTGTTCAGTCTGGCCTCAAACTCCTGGCCTCAAGTGATTTGCCTGCCTCAGCCTCCCAAAGTGCTGGGATTACAGGCGTGAGCCACCACGCCCGGCCCTTTTCCCCACTCTCTGTTTCTTTTTTCTATTTTTTTTTTTTTGAGATGGAGTCTTGCTCTGTTGCCCAGGCTGGAGTGCAGTGGTGTGATCTCGGCTCACTGCAACCTCCGCCTCCTGGGTTCAAGCGATTCTCCTGCCTCAGCCTCTCAAGTAGCTGGGACTACAGGCGCCCGCCACCACGCCCGGCTAATCTTTGTATTTTTAGTAGAGACAGGGTTTCACCATGTTGGCCAACCTGGTCTGGAACTCCTGGCCTCCAATAATCCGCCTGCCTCAGCATCCCAAAGTGCTGGGACGACAGGTGTGAGCCACCACGCCCAGACTCAGACCAGTTTTCTGAGCCCCTTCAAGGCTGCTGTTGGCAGGGGAGGCAACAGGCTTTTGGTTGGGGAGCCCAGGCTCCGGAGCCCAGCAGGGGGTTGGGGAGGGCTGAGACTCAGATGTCGGCTTCAGGATGGTGACAGCTTCCACCTGCCTGGCCCCCAGGCCTTTGCCCAGGAGACCCTGCGGACACTGTGCCTGGCCTACAGGGAGGTGGCTGAGGACATTTACGAGGACTGGCGGCAGCGCCACCAGGAGGCCAGCCTCCGGCTGCAGAACCGGGCGCAGGCCCTGCAACAGGTGTACAACGAGTTGGAGCAGAACCTCAAGGTGGGTGGGCAGCAGGGCACCAAAGGGGGCCCTGGGACTCTCCTGCCCCTGCCAGGGAGCTGGGCGGCTGCTCAGCATCTTCCCCGTCCTGCCCTCCTCCCCCACCAGCTGCTGGGAGCCACAGCCATCGAGGACAGACTTCAGGACGGCGTTCCTGAAACCATCAAATGTCTCAAGAAGAGCAACATCAAAATATGGGTGCTCACTGGGGACAAGCAGGGTGAGTCCTGGGTGGCTTCAGGTGGCTGAGCCCCTGCAGCATGGATCTTCAAATTTCCCTGAAGTTTGAAGGCTCACGCCTGTCATCCCAGCACTTTGGGAGGCTGAGGCAGGTAGATCACTTGAGGTCAGAAGTTTGAGACCAGCAGGGCCAACATGTTCAAACCCCGTCTCTACTCAAAATACAAAAATGGGCCTGGCCGGGTGTGGTGGTGCGCGTCGGTCATCTCAGCTACCCAGGAGGCTGAGGCAAGAGAATCGCTTGAACCTGGGAGGCGGAGGTTGCAGTGAACCAAGGTCGTGCCACTGCACTCCAGCCTGGGAGACAGAGTGAGACTGTCTCAAAAAAAAAAAAAAAAAAAAAAAAAAAAGGCTGCAACTCTCAGAAGGGCGCGGTGGCGCATGCCTGTGGTCTCAGTTTCTCCAGAGGCTGAGGCAGGAGGCTCACTTGTGCCCAGGAGGTTGAGGCTGCAGTGAACTATGATCGCGCCACTCCCCTCCAGCCTGGGTGACAGAGTGAGCCCTTGTCAAAAAAAAAAAAAAAAAAAAAAAAAGATTTTCAGGGTGCCCTCTGTTGGCCAGGAGCCAGCCCAGGGAAAAATATTCAATTATTTCCCTTCTGATTTAAAAAGATATTAAGGCCGGGCGCGGTGGCTCATGCCTGTAATCCCAGCACTTTGGGAGGCCGAGAGGGGCAGATCACGAGGTCAGGAGATCGAGACCATCCTGGCCAACACGGTGAAACCCCGTCTCTACTAAAAATACAAAAAAAATTAGCCGGGCGTAGTGGCCGGCGCCTGTAGTGCCAGCTACTCAGGAGGCTGAGGCAGGAGAATGGGGTGAATCCGGGAGGCAGAGCTTGCAGTGAGCCGAGATCGCGCCACTGCACTCCAGCCTGGGCGACTGAGGGAGACTCTGTCTCAAAAAAAAAAAAAAAAAAAAAGGTATTAAGACATTTTGTGGGTTCCTGAAGGCACCGTGGATCCTAGGCACATGTGCCTGATGATTCTGGCCTCAGACACGTCTCTGAGCAGCCCAGTTCCAGCCAGAACTGCAGTCAAAATCTCAGGGCTGGCTCTCATTGGCGAGCCTGGGTTACAAGCCCTTCTCTGAACCAATCACCATGGCCAGGGGGTGGGGCATGCGGCTGCCACTGGTCGGGCCAGGGTCCACTGGGTAGAGTGGGCGTGGCCCCCAGGCCGCCGGTGCAGGGCGGGTCACAGAGGTGCTGAGCAGGTCTGGTTCTGGTTCGCAGAGACCGCTGTTAACGTCGGCTTCGCCTGCGAGCTGCTGTCAGAGAATATGCTCATTCTGGAGGAGAAGGAGATTACGTAAGAAGTGTGGGGTTGGGGGGGTGAGCAAGGGGAGTGGGGAGGTGAGGACAAGGGGCACCTGGCCCAGGTGCTTGTCTCATTGGACGGGGAGCCCGAGGCACAATGGGAAGCGGGAGATTGAGAGGGGAGAGAAGGGTAGGAGGAAGGAGTGGGGGAGTGGGCAGTGGAGGGAGCCTCAAGGGAAGGGGAAGGGGCAGGGGAGGGAGAGGGGGAGAGGCAGAGGAGGGGGAGGAGCAGAGGAGAGAGAGGGGAGGGGAGAGAGAGGGAAGGTGAGGGAGAGGGGTAGGGGCAGAGGTGGGGAAGTGGGCAGTGGAGGGTAGGCGGAGGGGCAGGGGAAAGGGGCGGGGAGGGACAGTGGATGGAGCGGGAGGGGAGAGGGAGGGGAGGCGAGAGGGAGGGGAGGGGAAGGCACAGGGGAAATGGGCAGGGGAGGGGAGGGGGAGGGGCAGAGGTGGGGGAGAGGGGGAGGGGGAGGGGCAGCGGTGAGGGAGTGGGCAGTGGAGGGGTTGGGAGGGGCAGTGGAGCTCCCGGGGAAGTGGGGAGAAGCCCGCCCCCTCCCCTGCCCCGCTGACCCCTGCGCCCGTCCCGACAGCCGCATCCTGGAGACCTACTGGGAAAGCAATAACGACTTTCTAACCAAGAAGTCCTTGTCGCAGGTCAAGTTGGCCTTGGTCATTAACGGAGACTTCCTGGTCAGTGTCGCTCAGGGTGGACGGCGGGGTCCCGGCGCCAGGGAGGGGCCTGGAGGGGCGGCGGGCTCGGGGTGGGGGCCTCAAAGGGCCCCGGGGTGGGGGCTGCTGGCAAGGCCGAGGGCCGGGCAGGGTCCAGGCTGGACTGGAGGCCGCGGCGCCTGGCACAATCCCCTCCCCGCCGGCCAGGACAAGCTGCTGGTGTCCCTGCGGAAGGAGCCGCGCGCCCTGGTGCAGAACGTGAACATGGACGAGGCGTGGCAGGAGCCCGGCCAGTCCAGGAGGGATTTCCTCTACGCCAGGCGCCTGTCCCTGCTGTGCCGGAGGTTCGGGCTCCCGCTGTCCTCGCCGCCGGCCGAGGATTCGGCCGACGATTCCGGAGCTCGCCGTCGGTCCGAGGTGCTGCAGGAGCGCGCCTTCGTGGACCTGGCGTCCAACTGCCAGGCGGTCATCTGCTGCCGCGTGACGCCCAAGCAGAAGGCCCTGATCGTGGCCCTGGTCAAGAAGTACCACCAGGTGGTGACCCTGGCCATCGGGGACGGCGCCAACGACGTCAACATGATTAAGAGTGGGTGGCGGCGGCAGGGCTGGGGGTGCCCGGGGCGAGTGGGGGCGGCTGATGGAGGTGGCGGTGGGACTGGGGGGACCTGAGGCCCGTGGGGGGGGGCTGATGAGGGACGGAACGATGGGGGGTCTGGGGGCGTGCGAGGGGCTGACCCGCTGCCTGTGCCCCGCAGCCGCGGACGTGGGCGTGGGGCTGGCCGGCCAGGAGGGCATGCAGGCTGTTCAGAACAGCGACTTCGTGCTGGGCCAGTTCTGCTTCCTGCAGCGCCTCCTGCTGGTGCACGGCCGCTGGTCCTACGTGCGGATCTGCAAGTTCCTGCGCTACTTCTTCTATAAGACCATGGCCAGCATGATGGTGCAGGTCTGGTTCGCCTGCTACAATGGCTTCACTGCCCAGGTGCGTCCCCCGGCCTGGCTGCCCCATCCATGACCAGGGCCTCTGGGGATGTCGTGCCCCTCCCATAGCTGCTAGGAGCAGCACTGGGCACACTGAGAACCCCGGAATCCTCGGTGGGCAGGGCTTGCCTGAGGCTACATGGCAAGGCTGCATTAGTGGAGGCCTAGAGTCCAGGTGAAGGGAAGTGATGGTCCCTGTCTAGCTCTGTGCCCAACAACTTCCAGGATATTTGTTTTGTTTTGTTTGAGACAGAGTCTCACTCTGTCACCCAGGCTGGAGTGCAATGGCACGATCTGGGCTCACTGCAGCCTCCGCCTCCCGGGTTCAGGTGATTCTCCTGCCTCCACCTCCCGAGTAGCTGGGATTACAGGCGTTGTACCATCAGGCCTGGCTAATTTTTGTATTTTTAGTAGAGACGGGGTTTCACCATGTTGGCCAGGCTGGTCTCAAACTCCTGACCTCAGGTGACCTGCCCACTCCAGCCTCCCAAAGTATTGGGATTACAGGCGTGAGCCACCGTGCCGGGCACACTCAGAGCTTTCAAGCAAGGGCAGGCACTGCACATGGACCTCCCCTTCTAGGGACAGTTGAGGGAACAAGACCTTGAACCCCAGAGAAGATCCGATGTGGGAGCTGGCGCTCCACTCAAGACTCTGAGCGGTATCATGACAAGGACTAGAAGAGGCCCAGGGCAGTGCTGTTCCCTGCGTGTAGGGAAGCTGTTGGGAGTCAGGTGCCTTTGAGAAGGAATGAGCCCCCATCACTAATACCTGGGCATTTGAGAGAGAGTTTTACGGAAACCCCTTAGTAAGTATATATTGGTTTCTGTTTTATTTTTATTATTATTATTTTTTGAGACAGAGTCTCGCTCTGTTGCCCAGGCTGGAGTGCAGTGGCACAATCTTGGCTCACTGCAACCTCCGCCTCCCGGGTTCAAGCGATCCTCCTGCCTCAGCCCCCCAGTGGCTGAGATTACAGGCGCCTGCCACCAAAACCAGCTAATTTTTGTATTTTTAGTAGAGACAGGGTTTTGCCATGTTGGCCAGTCTGGTCTTGAACTCCTGACCTTGTGATCTGCCCGCCTCAGCCTCCCAAAGTGTTGGGATTACAGGCATGAGCAATCACACCCAGCCTTTTTTTTTTTTTTTCTTTTTTAGGCAGAGTTTCACGCTTGTTGCCCAGGCTGGAGTGCAATGGTGTGATCTCGGCTCAGTGCAACCTCCATCTCCTGGGTTCAAGCGATTCTCCTGTCTCAGCCGCCCGAGTAGCTGGGATTACAGGAGCCCACCACCACACCCAGCTAATTTTTATATTTTTAGTAGAGATGGGGTTTCACCATGTTGGCCAGGCTGGTCTCAAACTCCTGACCTCAAGTCATCTGCCCGCCTCAGCCTTCCAAAGTGCTGAGATTACAGGCATGAGCCACCGTGCCTGGCCTGTATCTTTTTTGAGGCCATCCAATTAAAACAAAAACTCAGAGGTGCCGTTATGAGGGAATTTGATCATGCTTTCCTCTCTCCCTTTATCTTCCCACCTTTATCAGTCCACACTTCACCCCACCCCAGTCCCAGCCCCAACCTTGAGTGTAACTCGACTTTCTACCTCACCCAGAACCCTCCCTGGGTGCCCGCTTGGCAGGCTCCTTGGGTGTCTGGAGGCTGACTTGTTCTTCTTGCCTTTCTCCCCCGGCTCAGCCCCTGTATGAAGGATGGTTCCTGGCTCTTTTCAACCTCCTGTACAGCACCCTGCCAGTTCTCTACATTGGGCTCTTTGAGCAGGTGAGCAGGGCAAGGCTGGGTCTCTGCTCAGCCTCTCCTCCTCTCCTCTGCTCCTTGGGGAGAGGGGGGCTGGGAGACCTTCAGGCCATGGGGTGGGGCTCAAGGGGTGCAGTCCAGTACCTCTCCCTACCCACTGCCATTGACCTCCTCCCACTGGAGCCTATGCTCATCCTGGGGCCGTCCAGCTCCTCCTGTGTGTGGGAGCCCCCACCCTGCGCTGGAGCCCCTGGGCCTCTGTCTACCCATCCATGCAATGGGGAGAGGGGATCAGAGCAGATGACTCTGCTAGGTTTATCATCCCCCAGCTCCAAGAGGCCCCAGCTATGCGATCTGGAGTTGGGAGGGTGGGTCACATGGAACGTTCCAGATGATGGAAGTGTCCCACACCTATGCAATCCAGCACAGAAGCCGGCAGCCACATGTGCCCAGTGAGGAACGCTTGTGCTGCGGCCGATGTGACCCAGGGACCGGATTTTACATCTCATTTCATGTTTGCTAGAACCGTTTTTTTTTTTTTTAGCTCGCAACAGGATCTCGCTCTGTTGCCCAGGCTGGAGTGCAGTGGCACAGTCTCAGCTCACTGCAACCTCTGCCTTCCGGGTTCAAGTGATTCTCCTGCCTCAGCCTCCCAAGTAGCTGGGATTACAGGCGCGCACCACCATGCCCGGCTAATTTTTTTTATTTTTAGTAGAGATAGGATTTCACCATGTTGGCCAGGCTGGTCTTGAACTCCTGACCTCAGGTGATCCCTCCGCCTTGGCCTCCCCAAGTGCTGGGATTACAGGCATGAGCCACCGTGCCCGGCCTTGCTGGCATCTTTAACCGTGGTGGAATACAAATCATGTAAACTACCCTGTCTCAGCCAGACTCATGCATACAGCTCAGCAGCACCCAGTGCATTCGTGTGGCCACGTGACCAACCTCCAGGGCTCTTTCCATTGCATTTTATTTTATTCTGTAGATGAGGTCCCATTCTCTCACCCAGGCTGGAGTGCAGTGGTGCGATCACAGCTCACTGCAGCCTCCACTCCTGGGCTCAAATGATCCTCCTGCCTCAGCCTCCCAAGTAGATGGGATTACAGGTGCCCACCACCACACCTGGCCACTTTAAAAGGTTTTTTTTAGAAATGGGAGGTCTCACTATGTTGTCCAGGCTGGTCTCAAACTCCTGGCCTTAAGCGATCCTCCCACCTTGACCTCCTAAAGTGCTGAGATTACAGGCGTGTGCCACCGTGCCTGGCCTTCCTTGGTTTTAATTCGCTTAAACTCAAAGAGCCGCACACAGAGAGTGGCCACCCTACTGGCCTGCCCAAGGAGGTCCTGATCTCTGTTGGGGGTCCCCCATCCCCCACAATCCCAAGAGCTTCCCCTTGCCCCCAGGACGTGAGCGCGGAGCAGAGCCTGGAGCAGCCGGAGCTGTACTTGGCGGGGCAGAAGGACGAGCTCTTCAACTACTGGGTCTTCGTCCAAGCCATCGCCCACGGCGTGGCCACCTCTCTGGTCAACTTCTTCATGACGCTGTGGATCAGCCACGACACGGCGGGACCTGCCAGCTTCAGCGACCACCAGTCCTTTGCGGTCGTGGTGGCCTTGTCCGGCCTGCTGTCCATCACCATGGAGGTGGGCAAGGTCCTCACCTCCCCGGGGCCTTGGACACGGCCTATGGAGGCCTCCTCCCCCGGGGACCACTGCTTTGGGGGCCTTGCTGGGTGCCCTCCCTGGACCCTAGGGGCGGGTGTCCTGGTGCAAGCTCCGCCGGGCCCCGGATTCACCCCATGCTGCCTGTCCAGGTCATTCTTATCATCAAGTACTGGACTGTCCTGTGCGTGGTGACCATCGTTCTCAGCCTGGGTTTCTACGCCATCATGACCACCATCACCCAGAGCTTGTGGCTCTTCAGAGTATCCCCCAAGACCTTCCCGTTTCTGTGTGAGCCCCCGTGGGGAAGTGTGATGGGCGGTCGTGGTGCCGGGGGTCCCTGATGGAAGAGGTGGCAGGTTGCTCATGACAGTCGTCTGGCAAAGTGTCCCGGGGAACGGGCTCCTTTATAAACCAGGCACAAAGGCACCAGGGCGCTCCGTGGCCTGGGGGCGTCTTCGGGGCTGGGGGCAGGGAAGGCGGCACAGGCTTCCAGCAGGCTCTGCTGTGACCCCGCCCTGCCCCCAGACGCTGACCGCAGTGTGCTGTCCTCCCCCTCCATCCTGCTGGTGGTCCTGCTGAGCGTGTCCATAAACACCTTCCCTGTCCTGGCCCTCCGGGTCATCTTCCCAGCCCTCAAGAAGCTGCTCGCCAAGGTGAGGTGGGCCTGGGCCTGGGGTCCTCACCCGGTACATTCCAGGACCCTGGTGGGGGAGCCACGCAGAGTGTAGGGACTGCAAGGTGTCCCAGCCCCTCTCGACCCTCCAAGACACTGGGCTGGGGGGAAGGGTGGGTGCGGAGCCCTGACACGTGCCCAGTGCCCCCGGGACCCGATTCCCCAAGAAGGGAGACCTCCCTTCCCAGACAAAGCAGCAGAAAGCACCCAAAGGCCACCCTGGGTTCCAATGCTGATGCCATTGGACTCTTAAGGTTTTATTTATTTATTTATTTTTATTTTTTGAGAGGGGTCTTGTGCTGTCACCCAGACTGGAGTGCAGTGGCACAATCTCGGCTCGCTGCAACCTCCATCTCCTGGGTTCAAGCAATTCTCCTTCCTTAACCTCCCAAGCAGCTGGGATTACAGGCACACACCACCACGTCCAGCTAATTTTTGTATTTTTAGTAGAGACGGTGTTTCATTATGTTGGCCAGGCTAGTCTCAAACTCCTGACCTCAAGTGATTTGCCCGCCTCAGCCTCCCAAACTGCTGGGATTATAGGAGTGAGCCACCGCGCCCGGCCTTAATGTTTCTATTTAATTAATTGATTTATTTAGAGAGAGCGTCTCACTCTGTTGCCTAGGTGGGAGTGCAGTGGCGTGATCACGGCTCACTGAAGCCTCAACCTCCCAGGCTCAAGTGATCCTCCCACCTCAGCCTCCCAAGTAGCTGAGGCCACAGGCATGCACCACCATGCCCAGCTAATTTTTTAGCTTTTTTCTAGAGATGGAGTATCATTATGGTGCCCAGGCTGGTTCGAATTCCCCGGCTCACGCAATCCTCCTGCCTCGGCCTCAACATGTTGAGATTTCAGGCATGAGCCACACCGTGCCCAGCCGACACCGTCAGATTCTACCCTGAATGATCTAGGGCTTGGGGACTGAGATGACGGAAACAATCTTGAAGTGGTTTAGGCAAAAGGAGGAACTTGGAAACAAGAGTCCGTCGACAGACGAGTGGGTCAACACAGCGTGCTCCATCCGTGCAATGAAACACGCCTGAGCCATGAGAAGGAGTGAGGCTCTGACAAAGGCCACAGCATGGATGCACCTTGAGGACATATGCTCAAGGCTGGGCGCAGAGGTTCACACCTGTAATCCCAGCACTTTGAGAGGCCGAAGCAGGTGGCTCGCTCGAGCCTGTGAAGTTGAGGCTGCAGTGAGCTATGATTTTGCCACTGCATTCCTATCTGAGCAACAGAGCAAGACCCCACCTCAAAAAAAAAAAAAAAAAAAAAAAAAAAAAAAGGGAGGGAGACTTACTAGCCCACGTAACCAAAACATATATGGAAAAGCAGGTTGCAGCTGAGATGGGCCCCAGAATTGACTGGAACGGTGTACTGCCCTGCCACCTCTGTTCTCCCTGCCCAGCTCCTGCCACCTTTACTGCACAGGCTGGACACATGGCTGTTCCAGGCTCACCTCTCCTGGATTTGCCACTAAAGGGCAGCCAAGGCACCTGGTGGCTGGTCTAGAGTTAAGTCTCAGGGAAGGACTCTGATTGGCTGAGCCAGGGTTAGTTTCCAGGGCAAGGCCAATTAATGGGTCTTGAAAAGCAAAGGACTAGAGTCCTCCTTAGAACTCGACACTGGGAGTTGAGGAGTCTAATTGGCTCAACTGGGTAGAGAAGAACCTAGCCAATCCATAGTGGCCAAGGGCTTTGAATCCTGCCTCTCCTCCTCGGGGGACAGGTCACCGGAGAGCCGTCAGCCAAGCGTAGAAGTCTGATTCCCCTGCTCTCCCCTTTGCTTTTCAGGAGGAGAAGGTGGAGGAGGGCCCGAGCGAGGAGATTTTCGCCGTGGAGCCCTTGCCTCATTTATACCGCGAGTCTCGCACCCGGCGTTCCAGCTATGCCTTCTCCCACCGTGAGGGCTACGCAGACCTCATCACTCAGGGCACAATTCTGCGGAGGGGACCAGGGGTCAGCAGTGACATAGCATCTGAATCCATAGACCCATCTGATGAAGAGGCATTTTCAAGCCCAAAGGAGTCGCACTGGCATCTCAGGAAGATGTCCTTCCTGGGGAAGAAGAAGCGCCAGTCACAGGGGCAGATGTCCTTCCTGGAAGCACAGCACTTCCCTACAAGTAGCTCATCATTTTCTATGGATAGACAATCTGCTCTTTATTCAGAAAACCAACTTGCCCTCCCCAGATATGTGCTTACCGGCACCCACAGGCTCTCTGGGTCTTTCCAGGAGCAATTGCCAAGGGTACAGGAGAGGCCACTGTCACCCAAGCAGAGGCCATCTTCTCCTGAGAAGTTGCCGTTGACCAAGGAGAGGTCATATTCTCATCAGGAGAAACCGCCGTTGCACAGAGAAAGCCAGCTGTCATCTTCTGAGAGCCAGCCACAGCCTCCGGGGAGCCAGTCATTGCTTTCAGGCCAGCTGACATTGGAGAGCCAGCCAGACTCCTCAGAGGAGAAGTCAGCATTTTCGAAGCCCTCCGCACCATTATGGAAGAGCTGGCAAAAGGAGCCCCTCACCCCCAAGGAGGGGATGGTGCCACTTCCAGACAAGACCCACGAATCTCAGGTGGAGACTCTGCCACCAAGTCTGGCGGAATCGTCCACGTCCACGAGCGAGCAGCCTATGGAGGTGGAGCCCTGGCCTGTGGAGAAGCAGTCATCATCATCCATGGAGTGGCTGCTGGTGCCCGGGGAGGAGCAGCCATCCTTGCCCCCAGAGGAGCAGTCATTGCCCTCTGCGGAGGGGACCAGGGGTCAGCAGTGACATAGCATCTGAATCCCTAGACCCATCTGATGAAGAGAGATCTTCGAGCCCAAAGGAGTCACACTGGCATCTCAGGAAGATGTCCTTCCTGGGGAGGATGAAGCGCCAGCCAGTTCTGCTGCAAGTCACCCAGCATGCAGGGGCCTCCCTCTAAAGACAGGGGCTCCACATGCTTTTCTTTTTCTAATAAACCAGGGACCATCTGACCCCAGCGCTAATTGAGGCTCACTCTTTCCCTACAGTTTTTTTGTGATGGAGTATTCCTTCCTGGTTTTTAAATCAAAGCACTGACCTCTAGTGCTCTAGCTGGGTATTTGCAGGGAAAACTTTTCTTCTTCATACTGGGGTAAGATAATGTGGGTCAAGCTTCATTGCTCTCAAAAGTTGTTTATTAAAAGCTGTGGCTCCCCCACTGCCTGACAGCTGGCCCCTCCCAAGAAAGTTTATAAATTCCAGTTCTGGTACCATCTGGCTTCTTCGTCTATCAGGAAGCCCTGGTTTCTCCCCTTCAAATACACCTTCATTCGCTGGGGTCTCCGTTCACTTTAGACTCCAGAAAGCAGTGAGCAGTGATGTCACAGAAGCAGGTCCTGACAAGGTCTGCATCTTGGGGCTTGGTTGACTCAAAGGCACCAAGCTTTTCTTTCAAAGGCGCCAAGCTTTTCTTTCTGATTCTTAACCATTCCCTGTGGGTGGTGGAGCTGTGTGGGCGGTGGAGGCTCAGAGCAGGCTGCTGGCCCAGGAAGAAGATGGGACTCAAGAGCAGAGAGGGGCGAGCTGGGTGGAAGCAAAGTCCCTCTTCCCTGCACTCCCGCCCTCCCGCCCCAGCCTTGAGGTGGGTGAGTTCCATTCCCGCCCCGCATCTGTGCCCGCATCTGTGCCGGACCCGTCGGCCAACACACACACCCAGATGAGTGACTAGAAAATAATTTATTGAAGAAAAACAAATCAACAAACCCAGCACAGCAATGGTTAACAATGACGAGACTTTTTTTTTTTTTTTTAAACTTATAAGCCTGTCGCCCGAGGGTGAAGGTGGAAAAGGGCTTCTTTCCCCTGTCACTGGAGGGGAGGGGACTTTGGAGAGTCCAAGTGGTGTCTCCCCTGAAAGCAGCCCTCGGTTCCAGTCTGTTCAAAACACTCAAGGCCGCAGGGCCTCCTGGCTCTTCCCTCCCCCCCAGCTGAGCTCATTCCACCAAAACCAGCCCCCGCAGGGGTCCGACAGGGCCACGAGGAGGAGCCCCTGGAGTCTCTTGGCCTGATTTTGCTTAAACCACTTGGGGCAGAGAATGTGAAATGGCCCAAGCTGCGGCTGGTGCAAGGAGCATCCTGGCCCCGGCATCATTTCAGATTTCAGGTCGGCTGAGCCCTCAGCCCCGGGCCCAGCCCTCCAGACCAGGGCTTTCTGCTTTATGGGGTGAGAAGCACCCCCTTTAGCTTCCCCGCCCCCCCTACTGGGGCCTGTCCCCGAAAGCGGCCCCTCTCATCTCTCCCCTGCTTCTCTCTCCTCCAGCCTCGGTTCCCAGGCCAGCACATCTGTGCCCCTTCCACCTCCAGGGGCTGTTTGGGGATGGCTCAGGGACATGGCCTCATGGCACAAGAGGAGTCAGAGGCAGAGGACATTGTCCCAGAGCCCCCTTTGATGATTTTGGGGGGTCCTCTGTTCTCTAGGCTCCCAAAGTGGGCTGGGAGGGAGGGGTCTCGGCAGGCGTACACCCCCTGCCTCCCAGACAGGACAGAAAGCCTGAGTCATGCCCAGTCCAGGGAGGGGAGGCTGAGGCTGTCTGGGTGGAGGTGAGGGGGGGCGGTGCTGGTGCCTGCTGTTGGGGGCCTCAGGAGGGTCCTTCAGATCTCAGGAAGTTGGGGCGTACCCGCATCCACCACCACCCTGGGCGACAAGACAAGAATAGGCTGATTGTCTCTCTCCTCTGAACAAGACACTTGGGAGTTCATGCTAAAGTGAAACCAACCGGGTGATGCGGGTTTGGGGTGGTCTAAGATGTCGAGGACACCAGAGCGCCCCCAAGAACCAGGAATGGCTGGGGGGGCTCGGTGGTTCCCACCTGGCTGGGGCAGGCAGGGGCTGGGAGGCGGAGGAGACCTGGGCACTGAGGCTCTGCTCCCGCCCCCGCTACCTAGAGCCCCGTCCACCTGTCCCAGCTGGACACAGTTCCTTAGAAAGGAGGAAAGAAACAGTAACGAAAAACCACCGAACAGCACCGATCGGGCACCAGACACACAGAAGCGACACGGAACCGGGCCACGCCCCCCGCCCCCCACCCCGACCACTTTATTACAATTAGCGTCAAGAAAGAGTACATTAGTCATGCACCAACTCAAATTCCATTTTCTTTTTTTTTTTTTGCATTTTTCTTCCTTTTTTTTCTTAAATTACATTTGAACACAGAGCACAGAGAATAATAAATACTCTTATAAGACATGACTCCAGAAAACAAGAAACAGAACAAGCCAGAGAACAGAAAGATATACCTCTGCCTCTCTCTCTCCCTCTCCCTCTCTCTCACTCTCATTCTCTCGCTCTTGCTCTCTCTCTCTCTCTCCCTCTCTCTTTCCTAAAGGACTCGTTTAAATAAGAAATCTGTAAACGCCACTGGTCCTTTCTGCCGCAGTCTCTCTCTCGGTCACGCTCCCTCTGACTTTTCCTCTGGTCTCCAGTCCTGACATTCAATGCGTCTCCCACGGAACTCGTCAAAGAAACGACATGCCATCGTCTGCAAAATTATAATTTAACGGTATAAAGCTTCAAGTCACGTATTCCAAAAACTAGCTAAGGATTTTTTTTTTTAAATCACATAAACTATAACATTAAATATTTTGAGGTATTTCAGAGAAAATTGTCAAAGGCTCGAAGGAATTGTGCTGGAGGTGTTGTTCCCTGCATGGAGAATGGATGCTCTTTGGTATGTGACAGCCAAGTGGGCATGTGGGGGAGGCAGGAGAGGGCCCAAGGGGCTGGGGGGTGGGTCGGGGATAGAGCCTTCTGTGGGGGTCTGGCCAAGTTTGGGATGGGGCCGGGAACAGGTGTGTGTGTGTGTGTTTGTGTGTGTGAGAGTGTGAGAGAGAGAGATGAAGATATCTGAAAAGGACCCAGGAGTCCTGGGCCACTTTATTTTTTTTGTAGAGGTGGGGTCTTGCTGTGTTGCCCAGGCTGGTCTCAAACTCCTGGCCTCAAGCAATCCTTCTGTCTCGGCCTCCCAAAGTGCTCCTGGGCCACTTCTGTGACCAAGAGGCTTGACCCGATCTGACCACAGTTCAGCATAGCTAAAACGTTCCACAACAAGAACGATCCCAAGTCAAGTCCTAAATTTCCAGCAGGGAACAAAACTGGAGGCCCCCTAGTGTCTGACCCTTGGGGCCCTGAAGGCCAGGCAGAGAGCATCTAGGAGACCCACCCCCTGCCAGGCCCATGCTCTGGCCAGTGCCTGAGGCCCAGGCATCGATTTTCTGAGAAGCTCACTGGGCCAGGGCTGCAGCGTGATTCTCTTGGATCAGAAGCATTTTATTGCCTTTGAGAGCCCTTTCCTCCACTAAATGTCTACCTACCTGTAATCCTAGCACTTTTGGAGGCCGAGGTAGGAGGACCCCTTGGGGCCAGGAGTTCAAGACCAGCCTGGGCAACATAGCGAGATCCCATCTCTACAAGAAATCCCTTAAAAAATTTAGCTGGGCATAGTGGTGCGTGCTTGTGGCCCCAGCTACTGGGAGGCTGAGGCAGGAGGATCACTTGAGCCTAGGTAGTCGAGGCTGCAGTGAGCTACGATTGTACCACTGCACTCCAGCCTGGGTGACAGAGCAAAATCCTGTTTCTAAAAGAGAAATTTAAAACATTGTATATCTATAGGCTACCTTGGTATAAAAACAAATAATATGGTATGTTGAATAGGTCCGCATCTTCTTGGACCAAAAAAAATTTTTTTTTTTTGAGCCAGAGTCTTGCTCTGTCGCCCAGTGGTGCGATCTCGGCTCACTGCAAGCTCTACCTCCCGGGTTCACACCATTCTCCTGCCTCTCAGCCTCCCCAGTTGCTGGGACTACAGGTGCCCACCACCACACCCAGCTAATTTTTTTGTATTTTTAGTAGAGATGGGGTTTCACCGTGTTAGCCACGATGGTCTCGATCTCCTGACCTCGTGATCTGCCGGCCTTGGCCTCCCAAAGTGCTGGGATTACAGGTGTGAGCCAACCGTGCCCAGTCACTGGCCTAAAGCTTTTTCAAAAGAAATTAAAACGTGGGCCCTGGACCTGCTGGGCCCATAGGCTACGTCAGTCTGGCCTGCAGTGGACAGGACAACTCTAGGTTCATCCATCAGGAACTTAGGGGTGGGGACAGGAGAGAAATTGAGGCCCAGGTTTTAGTGGGAGGTGGGAGATACTGAGTTGCTGGCACCCGGTGACACCACAGAAGAACAGGAGCCAGTGTGTGTGCATGTGTGTGTCTCTGCGTGTGTGTGCATGTGTTCCTGCATGTCTGTGTCTGCTGTGTGTGCCTGCGTGTCTGCATACATCTTTTCGTATGTGTGTGCCTGCGTGTGTCTGCATGCATGTCTCTGCATGTGTGTGCACATGTTTGTGTGTGCAAGTGTCTGTGAGTGCCTGCATGTGTGTGTCTGCGTGTTGTCTGCATGTGTGTCTGTGTTGGGGCAGAGAGGTGGGGTGCTGAGCAGGAATGGGGACCATTTCTACTATTAGGAACCCCCCAACACCCAAATGTTCTAGAAGCATCACTCAGATCCGGTGGCTTGGAAAGCTGGGAGCAGAGCGAGTCGATAAGGACAAGAGAACACTCCATACACGTCTTTGGTTCAAGAAGAAGGCACTCATGGACCTCACGATCCTCTCCCTCCCTCTCTCCCGGTCTCTCTTTCTCTCTCTCTCTCTCTCTTTCTCTCTCTCTCTCTTTCCCTCTCTCTTTCTCGCTCTCGCGTTGGGGAAGGGGTGGCACCCGGCAGGCGGGGCCCCGAGCCGGGTCCCAGGCCAGGGAATCCTGTCATCCAGCACAAATCCTTGGGAGAAATCTTTGGTATCAGGCGTGATTTTCCAATCACAGACATGAGCTTGAGTGAGGTAGCCTTTACCTGGGGGAGGGGAGGGGCATTTCACTAGAAATGTCTTTTGCATTTTCAAGGGGGGGTGGGCGGGCCGCTTCCTCCCTGGGAGGCAGCCGATGGGTGGGGGGATTTCAGGGAGGGGAATCCTTCTGGCCTCGGATCTTGAACCCCCGGGGGAGGCGGGCTCCTGGGATCCCACGGCCGGCCAGTCTCGGAGGTCACCCGGACCAGATGAGAGGAGCGGGGGAGGGCGCGGGGTGGGAGGGGGGCGCTCATCTTCATTTCCGACCCTTCCCACTTGTAAATTTTTTTGGCAAAAACTGGAGCAAGCAGATTCCACCTTCTTCAGCTTCTTCTCTCTTTGGCGAGAGTGGAGACCAACACCAGGTTCAACCCCGCTGCCCCCTGCAAGCCCAGTTCAGCCTCCGAAGCGGGAGGAAAGGGGGGCGGTCAATTCCAGAAGGTTCCACGCAGGAAGCGGCTCCACGGCCCCGTGCAGAGGGGCTTCTCCGGGCGGCCCCAGCGGCGCCTTCTCCGTCGGGGTCCCCTTCTCCGGGGAGCGTGGACGCGGTCTCCCGTGTCCGGGGCTGCGTCCTTCCCTGCGCTCCACGAAGGTGCCTAAAGGTAAAGTGAACTCAACAGAGATGGCGGGGCGGGGGCGTCTGGAGTTTACCCGCATGTGGGAGCCCCCCGTCCCCTGCGGCCTGGGATGGGGTGGGAAGGGTGCTTGCCCGTGGGTGCTGGGCGCCCGCCGCAGGCCCCTCCCCAGCCTTTAAGGCAGGCGATTCTTGGCACGAGGAATCCTAGCCGCTGGGAGGGGCAGCTCAGTTCTCGGCCTCAGGGGCCGTCCTGCCAGCGGGTGGGGTTGGTTTTGGGGAGGGTGGGGGACCGTAAGGATCCGGCCTGATGTGGGTTTTTGGCGACTTTGGAAGGGGCTGAGGTCTCTGGGGTGAGGGGCCAGGGCGGGTGGGGAGGAAGGAAGGTTTCTTCTACCTTCCTCGGGGGGCGGGGCAGGGGATCTGGCGGAGGAGGGGTTATTCTTTAAAATTCCTTTTTTAAATACCCGGTTTATATTTCTAGTATGTGCTTCTTGACCCGCTTTAGGGGACAACACAGTGAGCCCTGGTTTTTCTCGAGGCCCTCTGGGCGTCCTGAATGAAGAGGGGGCTGGGGAACCCCTTTCTGTCACTCCCTCTCCTCTGTGGGGGTGGAGGGCTTCCTTTGGCCTGGAGGGAGTGGGCATGGAGGGGGGAGGGGGGCCCTTTTTGTGCACTTGGGCTGGGGGGTGTGCTGCTTCCCCCTCCCCGGGTGTGGGGGGCCCGGACAGCACCCCCTCCAGGTGCCCCCTGGGGGCGGGTCTCCGGGCCGGCAGGATGAGGGGAGGAGACGTGGGGGCACAGCGCCCAGGCCGTGGAGGCAGGGAGGGCGCAGGGCCGGGGCGCCTCAGGCCTTGGAGAAAGTGGCCGTGGCGCCAGCGGGGCCCCCGGGAGCCGTGCTGGGCTCCTCAGCCCAGCGGTTCATGCAGCGGCGCCGCGCGTTCATGAAGAAGTTGCTGACGGTGTTGAGCTCCAAGCCAAGCTGCTGCGAGATGGTGACCTGCATCTCCTTGGACGGCCGCTTATTCTCCTTGAAGATGGCGATTAGCGTGCGCCGCTGCAGGTCGGTGAACACCAGGCGCTGTTTCTTGGGTTGCAGCGCGCGCTCCTTCTGCTGCTCCTGCTCCTTGCGCTTGCAGGCTGCGGGCGAGCAGCGAGCGGGCGGGCGAGCAGGACACAGCGCCACCGTGTGGCCGGCCGGGGAGAGGCAGGCGGCGCACGCCGCCGGGAGGATGAGGAGGAGGGGAGAAGGGACACGTGGGGGGAAAGGCGGATGCACATAAGGACCCAGGGAGAGCCCAGGAGGAACAGGAATGCAGGGAGAGGGGGAGGGGGAGACAGTGGGGAACACATGGACGCACAGAGACAGAGACAGGGAAACAGCAAGGTCAACAGGGAGACACCAGGAAAGTCCAGGATGCAGCCAGAGGGCGGTGGACACAGAATTCAAGGTGAGGACAGGCAGGAAAAGCAGATGGGGTGGGGGTGGGGGGAGGACAAAGAAGGGGACACAGTGTGAGCGCCCCTCTTCAGGCACGGGCACAACTCCCTCCAGCCAGCCCCCTTCTCCATGGAGCCCACTCAGGCACCCCAAGCCTCATATCCCCCAAAACCCCATCCTCCCCTCAAACGCTCCCGACCTAAAGGACCACAGAAATTGGTGTTGGTAACTTCTGCAGCCCCAACCTGGGGGTGTTGGGGAAATGACACGGAAACTGCACATGTGAGTTTTCGGCTGAGTATAGACTTGGGTGAAATAACTGGTTAATTACCAGGTCCTGGGGTGCATCACAAAACCCAGCAACCTTCCCCAGAAATGATGGGCCAACCAGGGTCTTTCCTTTCTTTCTTTTCTTTTTTTTGGGGGAGGGGAAGTCTTGCTATGTTGCCCAGGCTGGTCTCGAACTCCTGCCCTCAAGTGATCCTCTGGCCTCAGCCTCCCAGAGCACTGGGATTACAGGCATGTGCCACGGCAACTGGCTCTGACAACCAAGCTCTACGAATGAGCAGCAGGGACACTCCTGTAAGGCCTGATACCCTTAGGGACCCTGGGAGTTCACAGCCCAATTCTGACACTGAATCCCTGCCTCCTGGCCCTGCCCCTATCCACACGCTGAGACCACCCAGACTTGGCCTCCCTCGAGCACCCAGTGGACCCTCTGGAGCGCAGAACATTTAAGGAAGAAGACTTAGGAGGAGGAGGGGAGGAGTGTAGGGACCACCTCTTCCTCTTCCAGATAAGCAGGTCACCCTTCCTCTTGGCCAGTCTGCACAGATTAGGGAGAGGGCTGAAGGAGGCTGCCCCACCGCCTGCAGACCAGACACTGGCAAAGGGAGTAAAGCAAAGGCTCGGGGTGGTGGGGCAGGGCTGAAACTGAGTCCTGCTCTTCCTGCTCCAGTAGCAAAGTGGACCCCTCCCCTCAATGCAGTGCATGTCAGTGGATAGAAAACACAGGCTTCCCCACCTAGGAGCTGGGCCACAAGCCAGATGGTCTCATCTGTGGCATCAGCTTGAAACTCCATCAGAATCTCAATTTCTCTCCTGCATCCAGTCTGGGACTGTGGTGCTGGAGAGGCTGTCCTGCCCTCGTCAAAATCCCGGAGTCCCAGCTACTCTGTGACCCCCAGAAGCGGCGGGTGTTGCAGGTTGTACTAGTGGGTCTCTGCTCCCAGTCTCTTCTCTGTGCCAGCCCTGGTGGCCTACTGGGATGGCACAGAGAGCTTTTCCTTTGGTTGCAGAACAGCCTGGAACATGACATGCTAGATCAATGTCCATACACATCCACAGAAATAAATGAATGTTCCCTCTGCTGTGACTCATGTCTCGGGGACAACAGGTTCGCCCATCTAGGGTGTGAGCTGACACACACTTCACTCTCTCTGACCCGGAACGTGTGGGGCTTCTAACTGCGGTTTCAGGTTTTACGATTAAATGCAAGTGATGCCTGTGGGTTACTGCACATTTTAGAAAAGTGTCTTAACATGAAAAAGAGAGGGAGAGAGAGAGAGTGAGGGAGGGAGGGGCGGGGAGAACAATGGAGAAAAATGGTTTGGTGGGGGAGGAATAAACTCAGAAGGAACCGACAAGGCAGGCAAAGATATAATTAACATTCCCAGAGGGGTAAGAGAAAAATATATCCATGAAACAAGTACAGGATGCTGTTAAGTAAAAGCGACCCTTAGAGAGTGAGGAAATGCTCTTAAAATGTGAGTATGTAATAGCCAGAGTAAAACAATTCCATGTAAGGACTGGAAGATAAAGTTAAGCAGATATTGGCCGGGCGCGGTGGCTGACGCCTGTAGTCCCAGCACTTTGGGAGGCCAAGGCGGGCGGATCACGAGATCAAGAGTCTAGCCTGGCCAACATGGTGAAACCCCGTCTTTACTAAAAATTCAAAAATTAGCCGGGTGTGGTGGCGGGCACCTGTAGTCTTAGCTACTCGGGAGGCTGAGGCAGGAGAATCGCTTGAACCCGGGAGGCAGAGGTGCAGTGAGCTGAGATCATGCCACTGCACTCCAGCCTGGCGACAGAGAAAGACTCTGTCTCAAAAAAAAAAAAAAAAAAAAAAAAAAAAAAGTTAAGCAGATATCCCAGAAAATGGAACACAAGCAGCTGCAAAGATGGGAAATGAAAGAGAATAAAACGTTAGAGGATGAATTACGATGAAGCAGGGTTGTCACCTGATCAAGAGACACTTCAAAAATAGAGGAAGAGATGATCAAATAATGAAAAAAAATCTAGGGTTGAAAGATGAGTTTCCAGTTTAAAAGTGGTCAGGTGCAGTGGCTCATGCCTGTAATCTCAGCATTTTGGGAGGCTGAGGCAGGAGGCTCACCTGAGGCTGGGGATTCAAGGCTGTAGTGAGCATGATCTCACCATGGCACTCCATCCTGGGTGACAGAGTAAGACTCTCTCTTAAAATAAATAAATAATTTAAAAAAATAAATAGGCCCACCGGGCATGGTGGTACATTCCTGTAATCCCAGCACTTTGGGAGGCTGAGGTAGGTGGATCACTTGAGGTCAGGAGTTCGAGACCAGCCTGACCAACATGATGAAACCCCATCTCTACAAAAAATACAAAAAAAATAGCTGGGTGTGGTGGCAGGCATCTACAATCCCAGCTACTGGGGAGGCTGAGGCAGGAGAGTCGCTTGAGCCCAGTAAGCAGAGGTGTGAGCTGAGATCACACCACTGCACTCCAGCCTGGGCAACACAGTGAGACTCTGTCTCAAAAATAAATAAATAAATAGGCTGGACAAAATGGCTCATGCCTCTAATCCCAGCACTTTGGGAGGCCAAGGTGGGAGGATCACTTGAACCCAAGAGATTGAGAGTAGCTTGGACAATATAGCAAGACCCCATTGCTACAAAAAATTTAAAATTAGCCAGGCATGATGGCTTACACCTGTGGACCCAGTTATTCAGGATGCTGAGGTAAGAGGATCATTTGAACCCAGGAGGTCAAGGCTGCAGTGAGGTGTGATCGTGACACTGCACTCCAGCCTGGATGATAGAGCGAGACCCCAGCTCTAAAAAAATGGGGGTGAGATATCAAGTCCTCAGCTCAACGAATGAAAAAGGCACTGAAGGCTCATTGTGAAATTTCAGAGCACCAAGAATAAAGAGAAAATCCTAAAAAGCGTCCAGTGGAAAGCCAGATGTCATACAAAGGATCAAGAATCCAAGCAGCTTTGGGTTTGCAAAAACTAGCAGACAATAGAGCAAGGCTTTCAAAGTTCCAAGGAAAAGATTTTTCTATTTGTTTGTTTCTGAGATGGAGTCTTGCTCTGTTGCTCAGGCTGGAGTGCAGTGGCGCAATCTCAGCTGACTGCAAGCTCTGCCTCCTGGGTTCACGCCATTCTCCTGCCTCAGCCTCCCGAGTAGCTGGGACTACAGGCGCCCACCACCACGCCCGGCTAATTTTTTTTGTATTTTTAGTAGAGACAGGGTTTCACCGTGGTCTCGATCTCCTGACCTTGTGATCCGCCTGCATCAGCCTCCCAAAGTGCTGAGATTACAGGTGTGAACCACCATGCCTGGCCTCAAGGAAAAGTTACATTCAGCTAGAATTGCTAAACATCAAAACATCAAGCATGAAGGTGCAATAAAGACATAATCAGGGCCGGGCTCGGTGGCTCATGCCTATAATCCCAGCATTTTGGGAGTCCGAGGCAGGCAGATCTCCTGAGGTTAGGAGTTTGAGACCAGCCTGACCAACACGGAGAAACCCCATCTCTACTAATAATACAACATTATCTGGGTGTGGTGGTGCATGCCTGTAATCCCAGCTACTCGGGAGGCTAAGACAGGAGAATTGCTTGAACCCGGGAGGTGGAGGTTGCAGTAAGCCGAGATTGTGCCACTGCACTCCAGCCTGGGCAACAAGAGTGAAACTCAGTCTCAAAAAAAAAAAAAAAAAAAGATATAATCAGACGTTTGAGGACTCCAAAACTTGACTTCCTGTATACCCTTTCTCAGAAAGCTACTGGAGGATGTGTTCCATTCAAATGAGGAGGTAAATCAAAAAAGGATGGTGTGGGATTCAGGAAATGTGATCTAACCTAGCTGAAAGAGAAAAGGGGTCCTCCAGATGAGGATGAGGAGGACCCTGGAAGACAGCTAGACAAAAGGACCCAGGGTATGGAGGGGAGCCCCACCCAGATCAGAGACGACCTAATATGTATGGAAAGTCCCTTTGAGTTGTTTTTAAATTTTGTTGGGGAGCATGGGAATAATTGTTGTTTGGCAGTTATCAACTCCTGGAAAATCAAAGAGTTGTACAGGAAAGGAAATGCAGTCCTAGTACTCTACATGGCTCATCTGTGGACCATGTTCGCCAAAAGCATAATAACGTTAATTACTAAATGCTAATTTAGGCAACAGACTGTATTTGTAATTATACTGAGAGACTGATAGAGAGGGAGGGTATGGCTATGAATCTGAAAAGATGGCAAAGGAAAACCTGAAGGGTGAACAGTGTACCAGGGAGCCTTTTATGTATGAAAGGAGAGGCAAGAACCTATGTTTATAATTTATCTGCATAAAGAAACATGGAAGGAAATGCAAAAAAACTGAATTGACCTCTCACCTCTTTGGCACTCGGCCACCCCATGAGGATTACGGGAGAGGACCCAGTC